ATACAAAGAGGGAAACATAATTTTGATCACTCCAAAAGAGGGATGTCCCAACCAACAATGATAAAACATGATTTTTTCTCTGTTGGTCATCAAAGATTCAGATATGAAGGAGTGAGAGATTTTATTCTTGCTGGACAGACTTGGATCTTCAAGATAATAGAGATCATTCAATTCTCTAGCATGTCCAATCATCCTCCTTGAATCCTTGTCCTGAAATACACAATGATCTTTGGAAAAAAAAAAAAACTTTACATGACAAATTATTTATAAGTTTTTGTATAGAAACTAGATTGGTGAACAACTTTGGGACATGGAGAACATCTTTTAAGATTATCAAAGGATTGATTTGGATATTTCCTTCACCAACTACAGTTATAAGGATTCCATCTGCTGTGACAATTTTCTTGTTGTAGGGAAATGGGGAATATGTGGAGAAGTGTTTGGCTAATGGTATCATGTGGTCTGTGGCTCCAGAGTCCAATATCCAATAATGGTTAAAAGGTATATCTGAGACATTTAATCTAAAAGAAAGTGGAAACTTACCTAAGTATACCAAAGAACACACACCTGTAGGTTTTACTAACTTACTAAAAAAGATTCTCACCCTTTATATCTCCTCTTGGTTAAGATGGGCAACATCTTCTAGATTATTTCCTTCATTTGTTACGGCAGTAACATAAACTTGTCCTCCTTTCCTTGAGGGGCCTCCTCTGTGTCTCCCTTCTCGATCTCGATTTAAAGGTTTCCCATGTAATTTCCAACACTTCTCTCGGGTATGACAAGGCTTATTGCAGTAGGTACACCAAAGACCATTACCTTTCTTCTCCACATTTGTTGATCCTCCTTTCTTCTGTTCGGCTACCATGGCCAAAGTCTGATCTCCTTTATGATCAGCCACCATTACTGAGTTCTCTACTGCTGGACTGTCTAACATGAGACCCCTTCTACTTTCTTCACTTCTCACAATAGTCACCACTTCATTGAAGCATGGTACCTTTTGCTTCCCCAATATTTGAATCCTAACTTGATCAAACTCGGGATTCAAACCAACAAGGAAATCATAAACTCTGTCTTGTTCGATATACTCCTTGAGAAGTGTTGAATCTTCAATACATTTGGCTTTTATGACTTTATAATGGTCTAGCTCCATCCATAATGATTTCAATTGATTGGGATATTTTGTAATAGTCTTGTTCCCTTGAATTGCTGCCAAAGTTTTCACCTTTACTTCATATACTTGAGCAGCATCTTTGGCTTTAGAATAGGTTTGCTTTACAGCATCCCAAATCTCTTTTGCCGAATTAAGAAACATGCAGGTGTCACTGATTTCTAAAATCATTGAATTCCACAACCACGTCATGATCATTGAATCTTCCTCATCCCATGTAGTAAACTTGGGATCCTCCTGTTTAGCTTCAGACTCCATCAGGTGACTCAACTTCCCCTTTCCCTTCAACACTGTACGAACAAGTTGGGCCACTTCAAATAATTTCTTCCATTTAGTCTATATGCAGAATGGATATTGTGCAGTTCTCCATATTGTTGAGATTGGGTATTCCCTGTTTCTGGGGTTGGGTTCACAACTTCTTCCCTTGAAATTATAACAAGAAGATGCGATGCAACAGCAATGCAGGCTGCCGTCTTAGGGTTAAAAAAAATACAGCAGCAATGCAAGCTTCCATCTTAGGGTTTATAGTGCGCAGACAAAGCTTCCTAGATCGAAAACTCTGATATCATCTGGAAAACTAGATTAAATGAAATTTGATTTCATCATTTTTAATACAAAGAGATCATACAAGATATATATATATATATATATATATATATATATATAGAAGACCTAAACTATTTTAAAAAATATAATAACTCTATTTTATTCTAAGATCCCTTGATTTATGAGATTGTTCATCATTGATTACAAAGAAATATACAAATTTCCTAATTTATTCTTTCCTAATATATATATATATATATATATATATATATATATATATATAGGATTACAACATTCAAAAACAACCACCAACTACTAACCACTACCTAATAATAATTCTAACACTCCCCCTCAAGCTGGAGCATACAAATTACATATGTCAAGCTTGGAACAAATAAATTCAATTTGAGGTCCTCTCAAAAACTTTGTCAACACATCTACATCAGTGCAAATTTCTTTAGACCACAATTTTTCACGAATAAAATGACAATCAAGTTCTATATGTTTGCTCCTTTCATGGAACACCGGATTAGAGACAATGTGGAGAGCTGCTTGATTATCACAATACATCTTCATCGGTTAGATCTCACAATTTTAGTTCTTGAAGAAATTGTTTCATCCACACTAGTTCACAAGTGAGAGACGTCATTGCTCTATATTCAGCTTCAGCACTAGACTGGGCCACTACATTTTGTTTCTTGCTTTTCCAAGAAATAATGTTGCCTCCAAGGAGAACAAAATATCCTGTAGTGGAGCGTCTGTCCATAGGGAATTCAGCTCAATCAGCATCACAATACCCAGATATTTGGGTACCCCTTTATTTTCATACAATAGACCTTGTCTTGGAGCCTTTTTGAGATATTTTAGAATGTGAACGACAACATTACAATGATTAGTATGCAGATTTTGCATAAACTGACTTACAACTCCAATGGCAAAAAATAACTCAGGTCTGGTAATGGTGAGATAAATGAGTTTCCTTACAAGTCTTCTATATCTCTCAGGATCAGAGAACGGTTCACCCTAATCCGCCATTAATTTCTGATTTGGATCCATAAGGTTGTCTGCTGGTCTATAACCAATCATGCCTGTTTCTTTTAGGATATCTAAAACATACTTTCTTTGGGAGACTACAATGTCTTCTTTTGATTGAGTCACTTCAATCCCTAGAAAGTATTTGAGACAACCAAGATCCTTAGTTTGGAAGTAATTGCATAAATGTTTCTTTAGTAGAGAAATTTTATCAACATCATCCCCAGTAATGACTATATCATCCATATATACAATTAAATAAACACATTTTCCTAAAGCAGTATAATAAAAAACAAAATTATCTGCTTCACTTCATTTTAGCCCAAAACTTTGAACAATGTGACTAAACTTTCCAAACCAAACACGTGGAAATTATTTGAGACCACAAAGAGAACAATGTAACTTACAAACCACACTAGATTCTCCCTGAGCAACAAAACCAGGAGGTTGCTCCATGTAAATTTCCTCCTCAAGATCACCATGCATGAAAGCATTTTTTATATCTATCTGATGAAGAGGCCAATGACGGATAGCTGCCATAACAAAGAAAAGTCGAACAGTAGTCATTTTGATCACAGGAGAAAAAGTATCACTGTAGTCAAGATCATAGATCTGAGTGTAGCCTTTTGCTACTAATCTAGCTTTGAGTCGATCAACTTCATCTTTTGGTCCAACTTTAATAGCATAGACTCAACGACAACCAACAGTCTTCTTCCCAAGTGGAAGAGGAACTAAGTTTCATGTACCATTGTGCTCAAGGAGCCACTCTTTCATGTTTCTCCTTGTGTATTTGGTTGTGTATGTTTTGTTCGTGATATGTCTCCAAGTTTAGATAAACTATCAGCTAGAGTCATCAAATGTGTCTTCTTGGGATATTCTCGTATTTAAAAAAGGTATTTTTGACCCACAACAAAATGGCAACTCTTGGCCCAAGACAATAATCGGAAAGATATTAGGTTTTGGCTCTGATACCATATTAAGGTTTCAACATAAAACCAATTGGCAATATGTGAATTAGTATAACATGTATTTAAACCATACCAAATGACATGAGGCAAGCGATGTGGGACTTCCAACATCAACCTTACAAAATAAGCTTGAAAGGTGACTATTGATCCCATTTATATACTATATTTTGGAATTATCTCTAGTCAATGTATGAATAAGGTTATTCTCAATACACTCCTTCACATCCAATACTATTGAGCCTGGTCCATGTATAACATAATAGATTTATGAAAGGTTTTTATACCATCTTAAAAAGTAGATTAATTCAAACTCAACCCTACAAAACCAATTTGTAAGATGAGGATTGTCACAACCAATATACTAGATTTTGATACTATCTTTAGTCAATATAGGACTTGGTTTTTCCCTATAATCTTTTATGCATTTTGACATTTTAAAATTAAACCATTAGATTGATAATGAATATTCAATTATAAGGTGAGTTGCCAAAGATCTTTCATGTAAAAGGACCAAATACAAAATAATTACTTTTTCAAGGATCAAAAGGCAAGAAAGAATTTATGAGAAAAAAAGGAAAATCCAAACATACTTAAGACACTAAAAACAAATTTTAAGTCATAACTATATCATCCATATAGAAAAAAATGATCAGTATGCTTGTGGCAAACTAGTGATACAGTAAATAAGAAAAAAACTTTTAGACAAACAAAGTCAATAAGTATTAACCAGTATGCTTGCAAGATCTCATATTAAGAGCCAAATGTGATTATTAGCTTGTGACTCGTGCATCCTTAATTCTGCACTTACTTAATTCCTCTACATTGGTAGGCGTTGGATCTCTTGCATTAATGTGGCTCCATAATTATTTTTCTTGGACAAACATTTTGAAGCGAAACTCTAAAGCAAAACAATTATTTTAGTAAAGTGAACATAAAAACTATCACTTTTGAAGAAGTACAACAATTCATAGGATTCAAACAACACTACCAAGAGCAAGAACGTGAATGCACAAAGCATTCATCATGGTTCAGAGTTGAAACTCTGGTATACCATCTCAAAGATCAAAAGATCCTTTGGGCACAAGCTTGTAGCTCTATCAACCTTTCCTTTTAAATAGCAAAAATCAGATCATTTTGAATTACATGATTGTGGGAGTTTTAGCTCAAAGTACTCTAGCAATTATAATATATTTTACTAGGTGAATATCACATTAATAACATGTTATATACAAATTTCAAACAACAAACACAATGAACATGCTACGAAATGATGAAAGACTGACATGCTACGGAAAACATGTATCACCATTGCCATGTGCAATGGGAACCCCACAGTACCACCACCATGCTATGACAGTCAGTAAAAAGTTGCAACCAATTTCAGCCATGGGCACTACCATGGCCATTTTTTGATAACAACGAGTATGACAAAATCAATCAATACAAGTACTTTGGCATACCTCCAATTTGTCCTCGGCAGACCCATGGTTTATGGGAAGAGTCCGAAATTCCTCTGTCAAACGAAAGCACTCCCCAACATTTTCAGGAGAGACAAAATCCAATGCAACCTTAATACATGACTGCAAAAGGAAGACACATATCATGGATTTTCACGAAGAACATTTAAATACTACTTCGGGTAAATTTAACAAAGCCACAAAAGTCAACTGGCAATTTGTGAGTTGACTAGTTTATGAGAAATCATATATTCAAAACCTCCATGTTGTCATTGTGACAACTATCAAAAAATAAGAATTACTACAAAACAAAAAGTAACCAAACATAAATGTATCGAAAACACAAACTTGAGCCAAAATTTTTAATGGATCCACAGTTTTCACTTCCCTTTAAAGACTTGCTTGCTTTGCTAATGAAGGACTTAGGCTTAAGGTAGTAAACAAAGATACTATTATAGTATGTCACGACCATAACTAAAATCATAATGCTTAGGCATACTTATACACTTCTAGTCAAACAAGGATACATCATACCTGCCATGGTTAACAAAATTGAGTTAACTCATAAACACAAACGATTTTTAGATCTACAAACCTTGAATTGAGTCAACTCAAAATCTTGGGAACTCATGTAGAATCCATTTGACCAAGACAAACTCGCAACTTCGAGTTCAAGTGGGCAAGTTTAGTTGCAGTATGTTTTAAAATTAAAACAACACCTACCTTGTTTTGACTTACAGAAATATAAGAAAAATTAGGGATCAAACATTTACTACTAGGCATCGCAATTCTTCCCTTCATTCTTACTCATCGCAACTTTTTCTTTGATTTATGTTAGCTGTTTCAAGTTTCCCTCTTCTGTTGAAAATTTGATTTCAGGTTCACTGGATACAATTTGTCCTCATTGCTCTGCACACAATTTGATACTCCATCACGTTGAGTTGAAGATCAGCTCCCTTCCATTTAATTGTCATTTACTGTGCTTTTTTTTTTCTTTACAACCTCGAAATATCCAGCTTTCTAATAAATTTACATACTTCATATATGGCAACTCTATTTTTCAATGCCCCCAAATAGCTGATACTAAACACATTGTTTATTTTCTGAAACTAATATTTTTATTCACACTAATTCCTATATTGTTTTACATGAATTTTCCAGTACCATTTAATTTAAAATATGACTGGGTGTGAAGATAGGATCAACCTCAACTGATGGCAACGTAGCTGTCTCAGTTCCTAAAACTATAAGTAAAAATGCTCAATTTATTTGTTGTTTGAACGTATTTAGTAGTAATATACTCCTGTTTCGTTATAATTGAGGTTCACTATTTTGCATTATTAGGGAATTAAAATTTACAGGTATTTTAACAAATTTTTATATGAAGTAAACTCTGCCAAGTATAAGAGTTAAATCTACGAAACTCCTACCAGTTTACATAAACTCTGGATTTTAACAACCTTCATGATGAAACAAATTTACCGTGTATATTTATTTTACCTTCAGATTTCTGACTTGGTGAGGACAACCAGCTGGAATGAAAACAGCATCTCCTAGCTTCTGAATGAAAGTCCAGGGCTCAATTCCTACACGAAAATATATGACTGTCAATGTATACAGGTACAATTCAAACCCCTACCCCCTATCAAAATATGAAAATTATGTGATACTAACCGTACTCCTCTTTAAGCTTCCTCTTGTGCTCCATGGTCAAATAGAAGGTCTGGTCATGAATGGGATGAATAACCTTCATTACCGAAGGAAAAGCCCCATTTAAGAAAAAATAAAATCTAGTGAGTGAATGAGGTATATCCGGCAGACGGATTATCTATATACATTAGGTATTGTATGCCAAATATTTCAAAACAACTATTCACAACTAATTATTAGCAGCTTGATCCTTCACTTAGTCCATTATGACATGTATATTTGACGAAATTTTAAGGAAGGAAATGGGAGAATGCCAATGTTATAAGGGTGAAAACCTCCAAATATTAGAAGTAGAACCCAGCACTAAATATATTTGGTAGGTTGACAAAGAATATCCATTACTAATTTACCTGCTTTAAAGGACAGCAATGGACATGCCTGAACTCTCTGAAATGCTTCTTCAGATATTCCTGCAATTTAGGTACATCCTGCCTCCGAAAAATATCCCACAGAGCACCTTCTGAACCATCCCCTGCAAACAACAAATCACTTTCTTGCTTTATATTTACTTTGTCAACCTCTTTGAGCTCTGAACCGCATGAAAGACCATTCTCATCAGCAGAAGCAACCTCATTACCAACAGAGGGTTTGTGAAACTGATCAACTTCTTTTTCATCACAATATCCATTTTCATTTTCCAAGACTTGGACACTGTTTTGCTTCTCCAGGGACTTTATGGTAGAAGATATATTACTATGCAGGTCAACATTAGTTTCTTCATCCTGATCATCACCAAGCAGCTCCCTTTTGTCTTGCTGAAGGTGCTTTTCTTTCAACTTCTCAATGGCAGTAAGATGCTGTGGTTCCAATTTAACTTCAGCAATATGTGTCAACACATTTACCTAAAATAGCCAAATTATTAAAAGGAGAGAAAAAGATACTTAATCTCATTGTTGATATGCACTAAGGGATATACAGCAATAAATACAAAACACCAACAAATATTTGATCAGGAAAAGCTATGCAATAGGAAGAAGTATACATAAATTATAGCTTTCTCTGATCCCAATCCATCATTCATCTCAAGGTCTTAAAAATATGAAAATGTAATGATTAATTATGGATGAAGACAATTCACAGAACAGAAAAAGTAAGATGTGAATTGAAGCAACAAACTGCTGATTCTGCTCATAAGAAACCAAACATAGAAATGAAAAGGTTAATCAAATACAACAATTTACACATCCTACAAACTATGCACCTTCAAATATGAAACTCCATTAGAAAATAAGAACCTAAAATGTTCAAATAATTTTAGAAGAAATCCTTGAATATAATAGAGCAGGAATGAGAAGAGGATATAGAGCATACTGCATCGGACATGTCACAGTGGAGCTTAGTTACTGAGTCACCTCGTCCAAGCTCCTGAGGAAATCCATAAGCAATATATGTCTTTGGCCCCATGTCTGGCTTTAGACATTTTGCAGGCCATTTCACAGCTATGTTAAGAGAACCTCCAAGAGGATCAGTATATTCCTTGAAGGGCAAGGAAGATATGAACTCAGCACAATGTCGAGGTAATCGTTCCTCGAATAAATTAGAAGGTGGCCAGTCTTTTAATTTCAATATCTGAGGCCAATCAAGCCAATCCTCACGAGCTTTTGTATACCCAGTAAAGAATTGGTGGATATTAATTTCACCCTGGATATAACCAACAACTCAAATAAAAATGCTGAAATCGGCTGCAACAGAATAGCTGACATGTCAAGTAAAAGCAGTAAAGAATTGCAGAATCAGTAAAATAAAGCAGACATGATTTACTCAAGTCTGCTCACAAAACTAAAAACAGAATGAATACAAGTTGAAAATAAAATTTTCACTAACAGCAATAAAATTAAAATACATTTTACACAACATCGGCTAGATGCTGCTGTAACTAGGTTTAAGAAGCAGACAACAATTAAATTCAGGAAATTTAACAACATAAATTTGCTACAATAAATTATTCTCTTTTAGCCATTTCAAGCATAGTGGTTCCAGTTAAAATAAGTATCAGCATTAAATAATTTAAACACTAGTTTCATAGGAAGGGAGGTAAACAATGAAATTTGAGAAAAAAACACTCAAAGGTGAAGAAAGTATAAGATTTAGAAAGTAAACAAACCTCGCACCAATCTAAGCAATCAATTGCCTTCACATCCAAATGTTGTTCATGCTTGGTCTTGGTCATCTGACGGAATGCACGCCACATGACAAGTGGTTCCCAACTTAAACCAGATGTACAATCAAGCACATGGCTAACGATTACTGGCTCCCCCTTTTCCCAATGCCACTGAAAATGCCTTAAATCCTCATCCTGTAGTTGTACAGCCCTAGGATAGTACAAGTAGTTGTCACTGGAATCTGAACGGGAAGCCGCCTTCATCATATTATTAAATCTAACATCTGTGTTTCCATCAAGCCTCAAACATGAACAGAAGTTGCCAGGGGTCTCAAGCTTGAATGTTTGTGCTAGTTCATTTGCTTTACACACTAAATCAGTGATAAAATGTTGACCAAACACACTTCTCAGTTCAAGAAAACCATGGTTACATTCATCATTAACTTTTGGACAAGGAATGCTACCATTACATTCTGCATGCCACCCAGATCTTGACCATTCACGAACTACAGGCTTAAAAACATCATTTGCTTCAATTTGTTTTTCCATTTTATTTTCTTGTTCACCATGCAAGTAACCACGACCTCGCCAGACAAACTCCAACATAATTGGATCTGCACCACCTACAAGCTGCCCACTACGAAGCTCACGGCAACAGATGAGACACAGATCAAAAGAGCATTCTGTACAGCTTCTGTGGTAATCAAATATTGACGTTTTGCAGTTGTCACTACAAGAGAGTGTTAAGTTAACAACTAAAGATGCAGGAATAACTAGAAAAATAAAGACAATAAGATGTGAGAAAGATCCCAACCAGTATACACGTTCCATTTCAGAAAGATCTGTCTTTATTATATTTAGCTCTGAGACCGAGATCCCTGTAGTGCACATCCAAATAGCAAATTATATAATGAAAATATATGGAACTTGAACTAAACTCTGACTGGAGCATAAGAGGCAACGCAAACTTAAGCTATGCTGCTATAATGCATACAAGAAAATAGTTCAAAGCGATCCAATATCGAGAGAGAAAAATAATTCTTAAGCACAGAACCAAGACCAGGAAATATTCACAGAACAAACTACATTAATAACAGTGAGAAAATCTATTAAAAATGGGTTGAACTTGCTACAGATCATTCTTTCTCACTTTTGCAGGTCAGAATTTATTGCAAAGAGATCTGTGGCTTGGCATCACTTCAAAACAATGGTTTAGTTGTGTCTAGCATAATGCGTGTTCGAACAAACATGCACCAATCAAAATTAGTTTTTGTCAGTATGAAATTCATCTGTTTATTGGAAAACATTGATTCACATATTAGTAGCCTCAATCAACACACCTAAAGGAAAAAATACCTTGTATCTTAGCTTCTGTCTCTTTCTCAATCATCTGTTCTTCATCCAACAACATTAAATACGGAAGAAGTAATTGCAGCAAACGCATAGAAAGTTCAACCTTCTTATCTTCATTGGTTTCTATCCCCTTCATTTCCTGCAGCATACAAAATGCTAAAATTTTAAAAGTAAAATTCAGAAAATCACAAGATAACGCAATCAATAAGGGGGAAGACCTTACTTTAATAAGTACATCGGATCTCAAGCATGCTTTGCAGTTGCAATTACCACGGCACACAGGACATGCCTCAGCAATATAATGCTCTGTCAAATGAGGATACCTTAAGAAACAGAACATACACCAAGGATTAACAATTGACCAATATATCTTCATTCGAAACAAAAACTATTAAATTTAACCGTAACTTTTCCTGTAGTTGATCTGGTAATTGTTACTGTCAATTAAAACTTTTCTCCCTATAATAAATAGTAGCATATTAAATATGGCGTGTCTAATTTCTAAAAATTCCCCATAGAAATTATTAAAGATATCTGAACATGCAATTCATACGTGAGCTTGCCATTTTAATTCTTTCCAAAAATCTGTTTAAAATCCTATAGCACAACGAATATGACCGTAACACCAGATAGATAACTGGCAATGCAGTGGTAAACACAGAGAAAAACCTCATAGATCTTATCCAACCAGACAAGGCATGTTATACAATATCATGATATTGTAACTGACACAAGAAAAAATTGAAGGAGTGGCGAAGTTATACCAATTTCGTATACAGGGCATGCAAAATCTTTTCTTATTACAACTTGTGCACCTCACAACCTTGCCTTTATCATTTCTCTGGCATTGATGACACATCGAGGACTGTTCTTCATTCAACTGTTGATTGAGAAACAGAAACACGACCTCAAATATGAGCTAAATCATGTTCATATGGAAAACCAAACTCAAACAAACATCCATCTTTTTTATTGAATAATAAATCATGTCACCTTAATATCTTTTTGGTTGATTTTTGGCATCACCACTTCTATATTGACTTTAGGGCTCCTAAAATTATATTGCTTCTGGATGCCACTTCCTGAAGAATCCGCAGGCATTCCAAAGACGTCACCATCTTCCTCAAGCGTCTTTCTTTTTCTCCCACGTCTCTTCTCAGCAACCCCACTAATTTTGCCATGATTATCGTCTAGAACATCTTTCTTCTCCAATAATTTGCTCTCTAGTATCTCCTTCCCTTTCATGTCCTGCTTGTCTTTATTACTGTTTCTGCCGGGTTTCTTTCTCACACCTTCCTGAACAGAAGAAGACCCTCCAACGCCACCATTTTCACCGTGTTTAACGTCTTGAACACCCTCTTTCTCCAACAAATTACCCTCTGACTTCTTCATTTTCATGTCATCCTTATCTTTTTTACTCTTTCTGCCACGCTTCTTTTTCACACCTTGAACAAAAGAACAATCTCCAACCCCACCATTTCCACCGTGGTTTTCGTCCTGAACATCGTTCTTCTCCAACAAATTGCCCTCTAGCATTGTTTTCATGCCCTCCTCCTCTTTACTTTTTCTGCCACGCTTCCTTTTCACGCCTTCTGCAACAGAAGAATACCCTCCTGCCCCATCATGATTGTTTTCAGTGAAGTCCATTGCTTTAATCTCAACAGCCTCACACCCAGCATCAAAATCCAAGGATTGGGTATTTTGCTGAGTGGGGTTTGAATCCACTGGAATGGTAACTGTATTCCCTTGTTGCTTCTTCTTTCCGCGCGTCATAAACTAAAGGGTATCAAAAATTTTGTGCTTATTAGCAAAAAAAAAGCAAACAAGAACAATTATCACAAATGACAGTAATAAAGGTTGGACAAAATGTGAACCCTAGTTGTCTGACCGTGTTTAATTCTATTTCACTTTTGCTACACACAACAAAGGACGCGTACCTAAGATTACTATGTAATGTTGTGTTTTTAAGGGGAAATGATAAAGAAACATGGGAAAGTGGAGGGAGAGTTTTCACTCCAGCGCCAACATTAATTTGAGCAATTGCCATCCAAATTTAATTAATTTGTTAATCAGAAAATTCGTTTCAATGGAAATCCATTGGTGGTAATAAATTGGAAGTGGGAAACAGAGTACGGACAGAAATCACTTGTTGATGCGTGGATGACAAGGTAGCAAAAGAGGTACGAATATCGATGCTTGTGTCGGCTTAGGAGTCTCAACTCTGAACAAAACTGGAGTAAGTATTTGAAGCGATTCAAAGGGTCTTTCAGACGAGTAACTCAAAGCTGTGGGCTTCAACCTGTGGGTTGGTCAATTTCAAGGATCCTTGTTGGATCATAAGTTTTGTTTCTCTTTGTTTTTTATAACATAAAAATTGGATACAAAAATCATTATCTAATTTGTACAATTAAGTTTTCCTTTTACATTGAAAAAAAAATAAAAACTAATGTATAATTAAATTATATATATACACAAATAAAATTTTTTAATTGTTGTGATAGAAGTTCGGATTCTCAACGTTTATTATTTTTCCTTTTAATAAAATGAGAACTCGGGTTCATGTTACAAACTGTAATTAACAATTTGTTTTATTTAATTAAAAATGTATATACTTTGATTTTAACCAGCATATATTTACGTTGGTGTGATCTGACAAAAGTTAATTGTTTTTATTCTTGGAATGTGGCAAATAAAGTTGCAGTCTTCTAAGCCTTTTTCATGATTAAAATTAGAATGTTTTTAAAAGTTAAAATGATAGTGTGTTTGGAAGGAGGAGATCGAATATTCCCTGGTCGATTTCAAATCTATGAATATATTTGTTGTGATTAACTTGTTGATGTGATAAGATAAATAAAAAGTAAAAATGAAAAAAAAATAATATATATATATATATATATTATTAGACAGATATAAATATACATAAAAATATATATTAAGGTCCATTCATAGTTTAAAAGTAATTTATTTCATATCATTCCAACTCATAGTTGTAGTTTCATTACACATTATTATTTAAAATAATTATTTAAAGCAATTGTATAACTTTCATAATGGTAAGTTAAGTACTTTAAAACTCCACTTATGTAAATGCTTAATTTAAATATGTAATTATTAATATTTAAAAATTTATTTTAATGATTTGATATGGTAAATATTTCATTGTAAATCATATATTTAATATATATATATATATATATATATATTTCTTAATTGAAGATTTATTAAATAATGTTATTTAACTTAAATATAAATTAAGTGAAGTGATCGTATTCTTCTCCCATCTTTTAAATAAATGATGTCACATAATAATTAAAAAAAAACAATAAAGTTTGTAATGAGTTACAGTTTAATTACTTAGCATGTTATTCATAAATTTATTTATATTTTTATAAAATAAAAACGATAAAATACATATATATATTAACTTTTTAAAATTAATTTTATTATCACTTTTATAATTAGTCTCGTTTTTTAAAATTAATATTGTTTTTTTTTCATTAATATTATTAAACTTATACAATACAATGTTTATACTAACGTAATTACTAGTTAACAGAAGTACATTACATGTATTATGTTTTTTAATAAACAATTTAATGATATTGAGGAATAAAAAACTATTTGATTTATATTAACAAGAGATTTTTAAAAGGACTCGTTTATTATTTATTATTTGTGACTAAAAAGATAATTTAACATAAACAAAAGATATATAAATGGTTTAAAATTGGAAAAAAATATATAAAGGAGTTTTTAATTGTAAGAAATTAATATACATACATAAATTATATATTGAAACTATATTTGTATTTATAAGTATTTTTTAGATAACTTTGTATGTTCTTATATATATTTTCTTAGTCGAATTTGATATTTTAAATATAAGGTAATTTAAATTAAATTAAAATTTTAAATAAATTAAAAAAATATATTTACCGATTATATTTTTAAGTATTTTTTATTTATTACTATTAAAATATATATTGTTGATATTATGAAAAGAATATAACATAGTTTATTAATAAAAAGTAAATTATAATTTATTAATATAAATAATTTTATTCTTATAATGTATATGTTAGCTTGTGATTTAATTTAAAAGTGAATTTAAGAGAGTGAAAAAAAAAGAGTTTACAGAAAAATAAAGTTAATTGAGAGTAGGGACAAATATGAGTTTTCCTCACTTAGAAAAAAAATTAGAGACGGAATAAATAATTTATCTCAATATTATAATGGTTCTCTCTTTATTTTATGTTTAGATTTAAATTATAATTTTTTTTTATATTATAAAGTGATATATATATATATATATTAATCTATTTTTATTTTTAATATTTAAAATCAAATAATTTGCTATTTTTTTTCAATATCTTTAATTTTTTAATTAAATTGATTTTTTATTTTATTTAATTAATTTGATAAATACAAAAATATTTGTTTAAATATTTTACATCATTTATATTTTATTTATAATTTATCTTTATTATATTTTATTATATTATATTTTTTAGGTGTATTATTTATATTTATTATATATCAAATTTTATTTCAATAAATTAATTATTTTTTAAAGAATTAAAATAAATTAATAATTAAAATTTTGAATACTTTAATATAATTAAATAAAAGTTAACTTAATAAATATATTTTTATAAATTATATATTTCATATTTAAAAATAAAACTTAAAAAAATTGTTTAATTAAATATTTAAATATAATATTATAATAATTATTATTATATTAGTATTAATAATGTTTATAAATATTATATATCTATATAAAAATATTAAATATTTATTATATATATTAATATAAATATAATAAATTAAAATATTTACCTAATTAATAATAATAATAATTAAAAAAATATATTCTAAATATTTTATTATTAGGGATCGGAGTATGCTCAATATCCAACTAGATAAATTATAGTATGAAGATTTAAGAACGGTTAAAAATAAGTGAAGACCAGAATGAAGGAAGCAAAATCCATCACTATCATGCCTAGATAAGATTGTTTAGATTAAATAAAATAAATAATATTAGTAAAAAATAAAATAAATTTATTTATTATTAATAAAATTATTTATTATTTTAATATTATTTTCAAATATATATATATATATATATAACTTAAGCAATTATGTTAAAAAAAAACTTTTATATAATTATTTACATAAATAAAGGAATAAAAAAGTATTTCAATTTTATAAATTTTTTTACGTTGAAATATGGACTCTCATCACATTTTTTAGCCTCCCGTTTTCGTTGTTACTAAAGAAATTATTTATTAAAAGATTAATGTAATATATTAATTATTTCTAGTAAAAAACTATTATTTAATTATGAATCTCATTATAAACTTGTTTTAAATTAATAAAAATTACTTGAATAAAATCACATTTAAATGGAGTTGTGAGTAAAAATTATTTAAAAATCAAATATATCTTAAATATTAAAATTTATAAAATTATTTTAAATAATCAGTATTTTATTTAAATATATCAATTTTAAGACATGTAATAAAAATAATTAATATAAATTATTTTGGATCTTAAAAAGATATAAATATATGAATTTATTGATTAACATACTTTTTAAAGATTTATATTCTATTTTAATAAATTTTTTCTTGAAAAACTTTGTAATTTTTTTATTTTTTATTATTAATATTTTTGTAAGTTGTGAGAAGATAAAATTGAAGAGAAATTTAGTTATTTAAAAAAATAAAAAAATTATATTAAAATAAAATTAAAAACATGACATGTGATTAGAGTTGAAGATTATTTAATGAAAAATAAAAAAAGAATGACGTGCTTGATTTATTTTTTTAATGAGTCATGAACGTATGTTTAAGAATAATAATAATAGAAGGAGGATATGAGAAAAGCGTGTCTGTCTGTGGGATGGGATCGAAGGAAGAAATGGGCGGCACGGAGGAGGCGAGCCTGGATCGGCTTCCCTCCGCTCTGGTGGCCACCGTCATGACAAAGCTCGACATCGCCTCCATATGCTCTCTGGCCTCCACCTCCTCCACCTTCCGCTCCTGCGCCCGTCAAATCCTCTCTTTCCTCCCCTCTTTCCACCTCCTCGTACCCTTCTCTCTCTTTCCTCGCCTGACGATAACGTTTCTTCAATTTTCCTTTTTTTTTTCAAACTCACTCTTGTCTTTGTTCCAGGACATTGCTCCCACCGGAGACTTGCTCGGACCCTTGCTGCCGCCCAATCCCCACCTCACCACTCTCAAGGTTGATTGTTCCCGCCTCGATGATTCTGCCATCGCCTTCCTGCTCAAACCCTCCCTCCACGAGATCTCTCTCCACAATTGCGCCGATTTCAGTGGCCGACTCTTATCTGAGATCGGCTCCCGCTGCAAGGATCTGAGGTTTGCTCTCTCTCCTGTCCCGCGTCGCTCGCTTTAGCGGTTACTGTTCACTGAATCTGTTTCCGTTCATCCTGTTTGCGTCCAGGTCTCTCTACCTGGGCTCCGTCGCAGAGCGAAGAGGGAGGGCCATTCATATTTCCGATCTGGAGGAGTTGCTCGGCGGTTGCTCCCACTTGGAAGTAAGGCATCCCTATTGAAGTTACGGCTTTTAATGTTAAATCGATTGCTTTTCTTAATTGGTTGTAAAAATAGAAATTTTCGTTCAATTTATTCCAATTTGAACATTTTGTCGAATCTAGTGTTTGCATAACATGGGGAAATGGGAAGAATTGGGAAAATAAGATTAAGACAAAACTTCATACAGTTGTTTATATGTGTTTGAACTGATCTCTAATAAAAAATTGAGTTTCAACTCATTAATGTGTAAAATCTTGTGATACAGACTTTTATTACATGATTTCCGGCTCCAAGTTTGATAGGAGAATACCACAATTTATTTTGAAACTATTTTCATCCTTTCCAATTGTAAATATGACATAATTTTCGATTATTGTTAATTTATTTGAGTCTAAAATGTACTCTGATTATTTTGCTAGGCACTGATTCTGATGTTTGATGTCTCTCTCTTTCTACGTCACAACTTTGCTCGAGTGTGGGCTTCTGCCTCAGGAAAGCTCACTTCTCTTGAGATTGGCTACATTTCTTCAGTTACCGTCACTGAACTGCTGAGCCCAAATTTGGGATCCCATCTGCCGTCAAATCCTGTTCAACCATCCATACTTCCCAGAATTCAGAAACTATGTCTTAATGTAGACTATATAACTGATGCTATGATTAGCACAATATCCAAAGGTCTAATGTTTTTGACCCATTTGGATCTTCAAGACGCACCATTGATTGAACCAAGAATTACTTTTGACCTGACCAATGCTGGTCTTCAACAAATTAATCAACTTGGGAGATTGAAACATCTTTCATTGGTTCGAAGCCAAGAGTTTCTAATCACCTACTTTCGAAGAGTGAATGATCTGGGATTACTTCTAATGGCAGACAAGTGTGCCAACATAGAAAGCATATGCCTTGGTGGCTTTTGTCGTGTCACAGACACCGGTTTCAAAACTATCCTGCATTCTTGCACTCGCTTATACAAGCTTAAGGTCACTCATGGGACTCATTTAACTGATCTAGTTTTTCATGATATTTCGGCAACATCCCTTACTTTGACACATGTTAGCTTAAGATGGTGCAATCTGTTAACTAACCATGCTGTTTTGAGTTTGGCATCAAACAAGGAACTCAAAATTCTTGACTTGAGAGATTGCAGGAGCCTCGGGGATGAAGCTCTCCAGGCCATTGGCACTCTGCCAAGACTGAAAATTTTACTACTAGATGGCTCTGATATAACAGATGCAGGACTTTTGTACTTAAGACCCTCTGTTATTAGTTCACTGTATGCATTGTCTCTTCGAGGCTGCAAGAGACTAACAGATAAATGCATCACAGCTCTATTTAATGGCTGTTGTGTAATGGAATTGCGAGAACTGGATCTATCTAATCTTCCTAACCTCTCAGATAATGGAGTTCTGCTGCTGGCAAAAAGTCGGATTCCCTTCTTTGAACTCCGAATGCGACAGTGCCCCCTAGTTGGTGATACTGCAGTCATGGCATTAGCTTCAATGCTGATTGACGAGGCCAAACATGGAAGCAGTTTGCGCATGTTGGATCTTTATAACTGTGGTGGCATTACAGCTCTAGCATTTCGCTGGTTGAAGAAACCATATTTTCCAAAGCTCAAATGGTTGGGAGTGACCGGAAATGTTAATAGAGACATAGTAGATGCTTTAGCCAGAAGCAGACCTTTCTTACATGTGGCATGCCATGGTGAGGAGCTTGGGGCTGATCCCTATGCCACTTCAGATGGGTTATATACACATGATTATGATGATGTGGATGAATTTAAGAAGTGGCTTCTTGAAAACGGTATTGATAGTGACTTTGAAGAGATAGGCGATGCTGGAAATAACGATGAAATGGTTGTGTGATTTGCTTTTATACCTTTGTCGTGTGTCATTATGTGAAGACTCCTTGTATCTATATTTGTTGTAACTTGTTCTCTAGCTAGATGTTGTTTGTCACAGGTTTTTAGTACCCAAGACTTTTGTATGATCTTCTCATGTAACTTTGTATGGATAATGTATGATCCTCTCATGTAACTTTGTATGGATAATGTTTTGTAAAGTTGCGGTAGTTCTTTTTATTCTATTTTTAACCAATCGTGACATTATTTGGACTTTTTTTAACCTCTCAAATTCTTCTCTCTTGCCTAGTATTTGTTGTCTGGAACTTGTGGTCGCGAGAGTTCGATATTATTACTGTAATCCTTTCTTACACGGTGAATGACAATATAAAATTATTTTATCTTTTAGTTTGAGTAAATCTTTGTTTTGTGATCGATCTATATTTGTTAAAATGTAACTTTGTACATTAATCATTATTGGTGTATTTCTCCAATAATTAAATAATTAATTTTACAGAGGAAAATTATATAAAACTCAATTTCTTTCTACATTAAGAAACAATGTTGTATGACTTCACTGAGGAAGAAAAATAGAGCAATATGAACTTAATCTAGATATAGTATTATTATTTATTATTATTATTCAAGGAGCATGATTAATTACAATTTTTTTGTTTGAAAAAAAAATCCTTGTATAATAGTATATATAATTCTCTATCACTCACTTTAAAAAAAAAAAACTTGTTTAAATAAATATTCTAAAATAAATAGATAACGTTTTTTGGTAATCGAAAATTATAATAAAAAACAGTTTCCTATATCTTAATAAGATCATTAGATTTTTATATGTAAATTCTTCCTACACACCTTCATATCATTTTATACAATATTATTCTTACTATAAAATAGATTCTAAAATGATAAATTCAAAACTTAAATAATACATGTAGAAAATTATCTATGTAACCGCCCAAAATTATACTTGTAAAAAATTATCTATGTAACTGCTCCAAAACTATACACGAATATATAAAATTAAGATGATATATAAATACATATTTATTAAAATAAAAAAAATATAAATTTATACTATTCTTAATTATAGACCTACTTTTGTTGAGATTTATAATCTGTAAAATTTGTTGTCGTGTAAACATATAATAATTACATATAAAAACATATGCATACAAGGTAAGCTAATAATTTAATTTAAGTATGCAATATTCAAATGTGAGATTAAACAATATAATGTAACTTCAAGTTTTCATATATAACACTACATATCCATATAGGTTCATTTTCACTTCACAAAGACATTAGTCGACTTCCGGAATACTAGATATTGAAATAGACATTAGAGATTTACACCTGTCACACCACAACTCCCAAGTGCATAATACAAAGGTTCTTAATTCAGTATATATACTCACGTAAGGTTTTAATTTTCATATATAGAACATTAGTTTCGAGTTTGGAGCTAGTTTTATGATTTGTCAGAAACTGTTAAGCAAATATGAAAGCGCTAAACGAAATTTTGACAAAATGAAACCTCAAATACTGTTCAAAATCTGTTAAGTGAATTTGTAACAATAGTAGACTACATAATCTGCTAAATACCTTGTTTCCAATGTTCAAAAATCAAATCAATTTTAAACTTTATCCTCCATATTGTAAATCAATTCACTAAATTCAATTTAAGAATAATACATTCATACAAAATACTATATTTCTCAATCTCATATAAATAACTTAAACATTCACATCTAATACAATCAACACATACATAATCACACAATATATATTCCTAAAACTCAAAAAATGTGACAAAGTCACTGTCATAATCCAAATCTTTTAACTTAGTGTCTTCAAAGTTAAAGAAGGTCAAAAACTCTTATTTTTCATGAAGATAGGTCTTGCTCACAAAAAAACTCAAATTAACAAATCGAGCATATAACAATATTCGTAAATTAGTCAAAATTCATTTTTTCACGAAGTCTACATGCAAGACTTCCAAGACCCACATGCAAACTTAAACTAAAAATATGTCAAAATGATCTATATCTCATTTTCTCCGGTAGTATTACGGTGTTCTTAGATATAAAAACAGATGAGAGAAAATGAAAAATTTAAAGAGAAAACAGAAAAAATAAGTTGTTGTAGAGATAATAATTTTACGAAAATAAAATTTGAATGTTACATTTTTTCTATTTATAATTATTTGTAACTTAAATGGAAAAATTTTAAATTTCTTTTATTATATCAGTTATACTCTTAACTCACTCAAATTCATCCATACATTTAATTTCTAACATTTTTTTTTCATTAATCTTTCCTCACTTATAGAATTATATTTTATATTTTAAAAAATTATATATTTTTAAATTTATTCATTTGAAAAATTTTCAACCTAAAATTTAAAATATTTATAGATCATTAATTTTCATAAAATAACAAAAATGTTATTCTCTTTTAAAATAAATACGAGATTTATACCTTTTTAAAATTCATCCCGCGTCAGAGAAGGGGGCGTAGTGCCACACAACCTCTCAAAATTTTGATATACTTTTAGATATAAAGAATTTTAAAAATTAAATAAAACTATTTTTTTAATATAAGAAAATAATTATCATATTTTTTTATAAATAATAATTATTATTATAATAAATACAAATTTTATTTTCTTATACAATTTTTTATTTACATATTTTTTTCATACTTTTATTTTTACATTTTTATTTTTTCTTATTACACCATTTCATTTTCTTTACTTCAAGAAATACTTATTTTTCTATTATATATATATATATATATATATATATATATTTTCTATTATTCTTCCATTTGCATATTTTTCTATTTTACACTTTATCTTACAACGTAAAAAATTATAAATTTTTCTTTTTAGTTTTTACGTTTTTCTTAAAGTAAAGAAATTTTTGTATTGCTTTTATTTATTATTATAATATATATATATATATATTATTTATTATTAATTAGTTAGTTATTTTAAATTTATGGTGCTCAATTTTAATGTTGAGATGAAAAAAAAATTAGAAATATTACAAAAAATAATCATCTTTAAAAAAATATATGATAAAATAAACTTCAACTTATTAAATTTAAATATAATATAATTTATATAATATATTTTTTATAATATGAAATATTATTAAACATTAAAATATATATTTAATATAATTTATTATTAAATATTATATATATATAAATGATTTATAATTTTTAATAATATTATATAATATATTTATTTTTATATCATAATTAATTTATATATATTTATTTATTTATTCATTCATTGTAAAGCATCTAAAATTTTTAATTCGGCTCCATTTTCGCGAGTATTGAGTAGCAAATCATTGGTCCTTGATTCGAAGCTGGGCCTAACACATGTTTTTCAGTTTTTGGAGAATTACATAAAATATGCAGATTAGTTTAGTTGAAATTGCAATGATTTTAAGGTACTATAATTTATGCCGTTTGCTTTCACCATCTGATTGGGTTGTGAGAATCACGGGTTCAAACTACTCCTCTATCACCATTCACAAAAATTGGTATCAAGTGTCTCTGTTATGCTCTCTTTCTCTCCAACAACCCACTTGTGGATTTGTGTGGTAAATCAAATTTATAAAGCCAGCATCATAATATTTCTTTCTTGCAAATAAGAAAAACATTTCCTTTTTAGAAGGGTGTCTATCTAGGAAACTTGGCTATGGTTTTGTCTTTTCAAACCCTTTGTTCGGACATTATTAGACCCACATGTCTTTTTCTTGTTTTAAACGTTGAAAAATAACTGTCTTTACCTAATTTTTCATCGTACTATATAGTTTGACAAATTTTACAGATAAAGTTTTCTTACCCAAACACATGAAACTACCAATCCAAGTTTCTTTTCTAATGAGAAAGAAGACAAAGAACTCAGAACATGATTCTCGTTGCCAAGTAGAATACACGATGATGCATCATAAAAGTTGCACCAAAAATAAAACATTAAAAAAACGACAAAAAAAAAATCAAATAGTATATAAATCAATAACGTAAATAATATACTTTAAAAAAATTACTCAAATAAAATATTTCTTAATTCATTTATTAAAATATACTTGTCTATTATTTATATAAGTAATTTAGTTGTCTTTTCACTTTTTTTTTCTTATTTGTTTAAAATATATTAAAATTCAAATAATATAATAAAAATTAATGTATATTTTGTTAATTATAGTTTTTTTTAATTCATCACATGCCCTTTTTATCATTTATCTATAGAAATTAATCTATTGGAAACTAATAAAATTATTTAAATTTGATATTTGTAGCTAGATAAGATTTTAATGTTTTTATAATATCACAAATACTAATAAATAAATAGATTTTGATTATAATAAGTTAAATTTTTATATGTAAAATATTTGATATTTTTAATTAAATAAGTAATTAATTTATTATAATAAAATAAAATTTAAATTAATTCTTTTGTATTATAATAATTTAAAATAAATAATTAATACTTTGTTTAATTTTAATTTTGATATACAAAATTATTTTAATATGTTTTTATCAAAATTTAATTTAATGTTTTGATTATAAAAATAAGACTAAGAGAGAAAAAAAAATCATTAATATGTTGAAAGGATATCATCAAGATGATGAGCTTAAATATTTAATTGGTGAATGAAGAAGTTTTTGTTTTCATTTATAGAGAATTAAACAACTTGTGGAAGTGAAACATGTTTTTGTTTTTTTAGTTAGACAATGTATTGAGTAGTGATGGTAAAACATGTGAGTCCACCACGTTTTTGTTGTTTCGTCAAATGATGGACGAGTTGACTGTTATATTTTTTATTTTATTTTATTACTTTTAAATTAAATATTTTAATAAATTTAATAATAAAATTATTATTATTAATAATGCAATATATATAGTTAATAATATATATTAATATATTATTTTAATAAATTATATTTCAGAACAATTAAATTTAGATAAAATTTATATAATAATAAATATAGGAAAAATGTATTAAATATTTTTTTTTATATTAAAAAATTTAAATATTTAAATAAAAATTACTTTATATTTATTTATTTGATAAAATTTTATTAAAGACATCATCAAGATGATAAATAGGTTTACTAATTGAACCATCTATTTCTTATTTAAAATTTAAACAAATTCATAATTTTTTCTTACTCAAAAATTTCAACAAAAATACAAATAGAAAAATATAATAAATGAGTCATGAGATAGAAAAATATTAAGAGAAAAAAATGAAACCTTAAGAAAATAATAAATATAAAAGAAAATAAAAAAGTATGAAATATATATAAATTTTATTTTATGAGGAAAGATAAATAAGAAGGAAATGATAAATAAGAGAAAAAAAATTTATATTCAAGAAAAAAAAATATATTTTTTAATAAGTTTAAATAATTATAATTATTTTTAATTATTTTAATAATAAGATATTTAAACTTTATAAATTCATACTAAGATTTTTATAATTCTTATTTCATAAATTTTTATATTATATATTATTTTTTACTCTTTCTATTATATCATAATTTAGAAAAATAATAATAAAATAAACAATAAATTGACCTGTTTTATTTTACGGATTGACTGGACAGATTAGCTGAATAAGTGAATTGTCAGAATAGGTTAAAACGAGTTGATGAGTGAAATTACGCCACATCACAGTGGAGAAACAGATCCGCCTTTTACCATACTTAGTACGGAGAGTTGGTCGCTACTCTACTCGATCCCAACGTGATTTTGAATAAAATTGCTGGAAAAGTAATTGTTTGGGAAAAAGCACGTTGGAGATGGTTAACGTGATTCTCTCCGAATACCACCTTTTTTTATCAGAATCAGATAATTAAATGTTTTTTTTTCTTGGGTGGGGATTATTTTTATAAATTTATGGCGAAAATCGAGTTTTTTGTTTAAATTAAGGATTATTCACTGTATTGAGAAAAAAAATGAAAAGAAATTTTATTTACGTCAAGTTTAAGCCAAATGTACTTTATTTTAAGTACAAGTTTCACATTAAATGGTAAAATTAGCAAATAAGAGAATAGTGTTAACATTTAATTAATTAATTTTTTACTTAATCAGCATTAATGGCCTATAGCCCACACTGATACACGTTTTATTAATTTTTTATTGTTTAAAAAATAATTCCGGTGTATTTTATTTTATTGTCTTATTTAAAAAAAATACCTAATATCTCATAGAATTAAATATCGGGAACAATTTTTCTAACTCAATTATCCAGGATCGGTATACTTTTTATTTAATCTATCTATTTGCCTTATTTATAAATTTTTTTATTATAACTTTTTCTTTTTCTCTCTCAACAACGCATATAGTCAACAAAACATGAGACAGTACTGAGGTTGTATCTGGGGTGTGCTTCTCTTCATCACGTTTATTATTTTTGGTGATAAGTTATTATATTTTGGACGTGATAAACTATAATATCCGAATATACAGTGGAATCTTTTTTTGTTTTTTTAATTCCTAAATAAACTAATATTTCTCTTTTGACCATCATGGAATTTATTTATTAAAATATATTTTATAAACGATGTCTTTGCGGTTATTAATATCATATTTAGATTTTAAACTAAATATTTTTAAAAATTATAATGTGAGAGTATTTTACATAAATTTATGGTTATATTTTTAACAATGAAAAAAAATGTGAACGTAAAAAAAATTGACTTTTCGGATAAAGCCGGGAAATGGGAAAAGTAATAGAAGTTGCAGCGCTGTCAATCTCCTCTGAATCGTCCCTTCGACGTTTCAAGGGTCATCTTTTCTTCCATTAAAAAAAAAAATATATATATATATATATATATATAATATTCATAGTTTTTTTTTTCAAAATAAAATTACTGTTGATTATTCAAAAGTCAGCTTGATTGGACCTGATTGATAACGTTGCTCTTAAATCAACTGTTAAAAACTATTACAAGCATTCATTAATGGAAAATCATTCACATTAGAATATATCGATAAAATAAAATAAAATCAAATATTTAATTGTATTTTTATTATAAATATTTTCGGTGTTAGTTGATTTATTCTATTTGAGTTTTTCCTTTATTATCATATGAAAAATAATCATCACCTAATATACTGTATTGTGTATAAAGAGTCTTATGTCCTTAATATTAATGTTTTAGATTTTCTGAGATTTTTTTTTTCATAAATAAATATAAAAAAAAAACTTGTATTCATAACTTATTTCCACGTTGGCAAATGATGTCTTCTTAAATGCGAATATGATGTGTCCTGGTGTCAGGGCTGTGGGTGAACCTCGTGTTTCGCATATGCGAGTTCGGGTTTCCTCATCCCACATGACTCAAACTCAAACTCTCGTAACCCTAATTAATTTAATTTTCATAATTCCCAGATTAACATAACCTAACAACGTGTATCACACGAATAATTTTTTTTAATTATAACCAATAAGATAATATTGTCTAAATCAATTTCCTTAATCCTCGCTAATCTTCCATTTTGGGAACATCGATTCTCAAAACGGTTTCCAAAAATGACCAAATTGGTGGTCCTTTTTTTTCTCCTCTAATGTCAGTGAAAGATACACTACGTTAAACTAACCCAACTTCAATGCTAAAAAAAATGAAAATAAAAATAATAATGTTGGGTAGTTGTTTTTTAATTTTATATGACCTATAATGTTTCATATTCAATTTACTTGTCGTGTCTCTATCATGAATGTTAAAAATCGAAGTAGTATTATTATTTTATGGTATATGTATATACAATTAAAGGGAAAATGACAACACTTAACCAAAATTTTATGATGAAAATCAAATTATGACATTGAGTGGAGCATGGTATATTTAAAATGTAAAAGAAAATAAATGTTCACATCACATCATAGGCATTTTCCAAATTTGGTCCCACCAAATTATGAACAAGGAAAAGATATCGAACTACTAAAGTTTTATAATGTCACAAACATGCACAAAACAAAATTTTCCTCTCCAAGCTATTGAATCCTCATGCACCACCACCCTCCCAAACAAGTTACCCCAAAAAGAAATCAGCAATATTTTCCCAATGTCTCCCATTATAGCCAATTAGTTTGAATCTAAACATGTAATCATGTTCAAATTTCTCATCATATTTTCAAATTTAATATATCTAAATGGTGTATGTAGATCTAATCTACCTTTTAATGAGGTCTAATTGTTTTCTCTAAAAAGGTTATAATTGACTTTTCATTAGAAGCTCATGCTTATCCAAATGAGTAAGCACCCACAATGTGCCACTTCATTCTTTCTCACTTTGTAGTGTTCCAAACAAACATTATTTTATTCAGTTATATTTCCGTTATGTATTTGTTATAACTTCTTATAACAACATTTGTTCAGAAACAGGTGGTGCTGAATCACATTCAAATTGTAGAGAGTGCTCAAAACGGTAACTTTCTTAACTTAATAATAACATTTCGTAAAAATTAATGGTGTTTGCTTTTCAATTTTTAACGATTGGTTTTAATAATTAAGAAGACGAAAAAACAATCTAGTTTTTTAAGATTTTGTTTGCATTTTTATGAAAAAAAAAAGTTTTATCCTTACCACAAAATGTCAGCATTACTCAGTGTAGGAAATGAATTTTTTATCCTAACCAGCATTTCAGGATTTGACACTTAGTGGGATTACAAAGTTCATAATTATCACAAAAATACTTGATAAACTAATTTCAATATTAACTTGTAGTATAATAATAAATTTTTTATTATTTAATGCTGTTATTTTAAATACTGACTTAAATACTTCACTTATTTGTTTATATAAGAAACAAGGGTTTTTTTGGATGAATTTGTTCATAATTTTTTTTGTTATAAACTATCATGTATAAATTAATTTATAAACATGTAAATTTTCTGATCTATTATTTATAATATGTACATAAATTAATATTAACTTATAGATACATAATTTTTTTCTTGTAAAATAAGTTTATGGATTTTTTGTTGTAAGCATGTAATAAACTGTTTTCTTTTTACATATCATAAATTTGCAGTTTCAAAATTTAAAATTTTTATTGGTTTTTAGTTTTAAAAAACTAGTTTTTATTTGAAAGCAATATTTTAATTTTTTAAATTATTTTTTCTTGTGATTAAGAAAAAAACTCATATCTCTTTCTGTAAAAAGGTTGTAAAAAATTTAATATTTAATTTAAAATTAAAAACTATAGCTATAATTTTATTGGTATATGAAGAATTTAAAAAATTTATTTTAAAAATAAAATTAAATATTTTATTATAAAGTACGAGTGTTTATAATTTGATTATATTTATTTATATAAATAATTGTGTTTGAAAATGTTTTAAGTACAAGCTTTAACCAAATAAATAAAATTTATAAGAAAAAAACAACAACAAATATATTACGTGAGGAAATTATAGGGGGAGACCTACTTACATCCGATTATATAGAGTAAAGAAGAAATGACATTTGACACCGTACACTTTGTTGTGATTCGTGTGCTGAATAAAAAGGTTTAATCTTCTCCACCGTTCCACCTTCACGGCTACATACAACTTCAACACATGCATCTTACACTCACACATCACACTCACACACTAATAACAAAGAAGATTTTAGGTTAGGTTTAGGGAAGACCCCTTCATTATTGGTACACTCTAACAAACACACACATGTAACATGTCACCCATACAAAAAAAAAAAAACAAAATATAAATGGATTATATGGATGGAGAAGGGACTGAGAAAGAGAAAAAGATACAATGGTAAGTTAGAGATTGGAAAAGAAGAAAAAGAAAGTAACCTCAATTATTAATAATAATAATAATAATAATTATAATTATAATTATAACTAGAATAATAACCAAGAAAATAAACACTTTATTTTTACTAATGGATTATTTTAAAATTCTGTGTATCTGTTCCAATTTGCATAATCCATAATCCAGATTCGGTATACGTGTGTAGTGGATTATATAACAAACCCAGGTCAGGTTCGCATACTCTGTACCTCACAATAAAAGCACCACTGTGTGTGCGTTGTTTCATGTGAAACACCCAAACGCATCGCGCTTTACGTCGTTCCATGGCCATGATGGTGACGGAGGGCAACGACAGCTGCGCCAGCGGAGTGCAGCACCATACCACCTCCTCCTCTTCCTCGCCCGCGCATACTCGTCAGCAGCGTCACAAGGTCGAAGTCTACAATGAGATTCTTCGCCGCTTGAAAGATTCCGGCGACGAAGAGGCTATGCAACCTAGCTTCAACGATCAGCTTTGGGCGCACTTTAATCGCCTCCCTACACGGTCCTCTCCTCTCCTTGCATTCTCGCTTCTCTCTTCTCTTTTACAAATACACGCTACACACTACGTTAATTATTCTCCTACCATTCACATACGTGTTGTTATTTTTTTTTTCCTTTTAAAATCTTTTAGTATAAATCTCGGTTTCTTCATCGTTTTATTGGAAATTTTATTTTATTTACTTTTTATGAGTATGTTCATGTGAGATTTTGGCGGTGGATTGATTTCGTTTGAAGCGTGAACATACGCAGTGGAATTAAGTTTCCTTACTTGTCCTGAATCCGTGCGTCTGGAAGATACTAGATTTTAATGAATGTTTGTTGTGACTGTGTTGTGTTTGATATCGCGTGCTCGATTGGGTCTGCGATTTTGGGTTTTGGAGAGAGAATTAAGGATGTTCTGTAATGCAGGTACGCGCTGGATGTGAATGTGGAAAGGGCAGCTGATGTTCTTATGCACAAGAGATTATTGCAGTTGGCGCATGATCCTGCTAATAGGCCTTCAATTGAAGTTCGATTAGTTCAGGTGACCTGATTCTTACTTATAATGGTCTATTATTTATGCTGTTAACTCATTTCCTTTCGGTTTTCGCTTTTTAGTGCTTTCACGTGGTGCTGCATTGTTGTTTGCTGTGCTTTGTTGACTTCTTAATTGTCATTTGCGAGTGGGTCGTTTCGTTCTTAGCGGAGGATAACTACATAAAATGTACATGTTGGAATTAGGCTTGCATGTTTATATTTATATATGCTAACACATTATTAAGATCAAGCTTTTGGAATCTATAAAGGTGTTGTTGGAAATCTGCATGTGAACAATTTTTTATTTTATTTTCTGAAATCTTTCCGACCATCTCTCTGGACTCTGGAGGGAGCCATTTTGGTCACATGCAACTGCAAACAAATACATGCACAGTCACCAAAGCAAGATATTTAGCACAATTCAACTGTACTAAAATCAGACGAACTTGATATGATTTTATAGAATTATGATTTGCTCCCTCCATAATTCTTTCAGGATCCCCACTGAATTTTCCTGGAATAATTTAAATGTATCTATGATTCAGGAAGGTTAATTTGCGTTTCTGCTTTATTTAAAAGTCTGAAGCTAACTTGATTATGCGTACTTCTGAGAAGGCGAAAGTAGAAGAAAAAAATGAGGGTTTAAAATGTTAGGGAATTTAATTGTGAAATGCCGGTTCTTACTTGAAATAGCAGCTGCTTCCAATTTAAGCATACGGGTCATGGCACAATTTACAGTTTTATAATCTATGATGGTTGAGTACTCTAAACTCAGTATTGCTTGATTTTTCTTATTTCATTATTCACTTAAGAAATAAAATAATTTGTGAATTTTAACATGTTTGTCTTCATATAGCATTGTGGATGGTTCATTTGTGCCACTGTTTGTGTGCTAGCGTGAGCAAATTTGTATTAGTCTATTAGGTTTCTGTATCATTAGAATGTCGGGGAATATTTTCTGTCAGCAAATCATCCTTAATTTGTCTGGTTGTTTTGTGCCTTGTAATCAAAATATATTTTTATGTCTATGCGTTTGTAAAGATTATGTTTTTTCCTGCTAGATTCAAGTTGTTCATAGTTTTAATTTTCATCTTCTGAGTGATGTGATTGAAGTCCTTCATCTCACTCCATGTTGTTTATATCATTTTGGTGCTGGAATCTTCGTGCAGGTTCATCCCATATCTGATGGAAACTCAGCGGACACTTTTGAATCAGATGATCCGGGGACAGAATCTGGTCAAAGTTCTTCAAAGTACTCAAGCAGGCAGAGGTACTATTTTCTCACTTGTTCTATTGATTTCATAAATTTCTAGTAACTTGTTGGGTGCCATTATCGCAAAGCTCATGAAATGGGTACATTTAAAGTACTAATTAACTAGGGCTGATGCCGGCATTCTTCAATTCTAATTTTTTTCTTCTTCTCAATGTTTTAGTATACACCCCCCTCCTGCTTTTGGTTCTTCCCCCAATCTTGAAGCATTGGCTCTTGAAGCAAATAGTTCCGAAGACATAGAAGAGGAACAATCTGTACATGCCAATGTCCAATATTTGCGGTGAAATTTCTATTGCAAGCTACGCTCAATAATATTTAGAACTAGGCTTGGAAAATTCTATGAATGATGACCTAGAGTCTAAATTACATACGCTTTGCTATTTATATGGGGGTGGATATGAACATGGAACCCAAATGGTGTGTGATATTGTAGCTTTCGTATATGTGCTTTTTAAACTTATTATAACTTTTGGCTTTCTTGAGTTTGGGGTGTGATGGTAATATTATTTGTATCTCCTTTGGTGAATCATGTAAAAGACAAATTTAAGAACTTTGCAACTATGCCTATCTAAACTCGTATGATGTTTGGAGCCTTTATAACACTTATATTTATGCACTTTCTATTAAAATGTTCTAATTTCATTTTGCTGTTTACTTTGAAATTTTAAGCATGTGTCACTAAAAATGATGTAGGCCCATGCATGAAATCACCATCTCAACAGATGACAAGCCAAAGCTTCTTAGCCAGGTACTCAATATCTGTCTGATAAAAATGTATGACAAGTATGTTATTCCAACTAACAAGACTCATTGAAAAGATGAAGTTTCAGAGAGACTAGAAACATAGGAGGAAATTTATTAAGACTAGGAACATGGTGGTTGCCATATGTAGTTAGTACGGTGATGTTAGTCACCATGACCTTCACTTCATCCATGGTAAAAAATTTCACATTGACAATAGGTATGATTAAATTATAATATATAAGTAGGAAGCAAAATTCTAAAGCCTAAACCATAAGTAGTGAGTACGACGATATTGGTCACTATGACATCCACTTTATTCACGGTCAAAACTTCAATATTTAGTAGATATGACTAAATTATATGATACAACTCACCTTACAAGCTAGTTTTGTAAGATCGTGTTTGACTCAAATCCATTTTCTAAGATGGTATTAGAATTTATCCTAGCGATGTTTGTTGGGCTTATTGTTCCACCCGCTATTAGATTGCTATCCAACCATCCACACATACCTAATCTCATACTCGAGATGTACAATGTTAAACTTTAAAGGGTTGTGTTATAAATCCCACGTTGACTAGAACTATAGTTAAATTATAGTATATAAGTAGGATGAAAACATCACTTTACAAGCTGGTTTTGTAGGTTGAGTTAGGTTTAAGTCCACTATTATGATATGAATGAGAGACAAGGGTTGAGGAATCAGTAGTAGGAGTAGAGGAAGGGCCGAAAGTGTGGATGGAAAGACACAACAGTTGTTCATTAACTATATCATGGGAGGGAAGATGGGATTTTGATAACATTCAATAACAAATGGAATCAAGTATAGTTAAGAGGATGACAACAAGTGCAAGAACCATGAAAAATGTACTGTGTTTAGCAGGAGGTGCTGCATCACTAATAATCACCATGAAGGTTTCAAAATAAACAATTAAAGGATCAAGCTTACTAATATTATTCTGCAAATCCATATTTTCCAAGTTGACCGAAACAATTTGAAACACATTACAAAGATGATGAACGTTGTTGGGATAAACATTCTTGGATTTTGTGCAAAGATTATAGTGGGTTGTAGAGGCTTGGTATTGCAACTGGAGTTTGGGTGCAATAGAAAACCAAAAAATGCTTCACAAAGGAGCATCTATTTGTTTCCACTGGGTTAGATTCTTGTTGGGAATATCCTTGGCTTGTTTGGTTAGGTTATTTGCACTTGAAACCACAATTAGACAGCACAATCTAGATACTTTAGTTGGTTGTCCCAATCAATTTTTCACATTGAATTGGCAGGATAGTGGTAAATGCCACTATAGCACCAGAATCCAAAGAGGATCTATTAGAGGCCGTGAGGAATAAAGGCAAGAAGGGCTGGATAGGATTGCTGGAGAAAGAGTAAGGTGACAGAGGGATGGCTGGACTATGGGTCTTGCAGGAAAATGGGTTACTTGTTAGGGTACAACAGAGTCATAAATATGCAAGAACAAATTGAATTTCCAGTATCTAAATCCCCAATTTCTCGTAATAGATTTATTATATTTCTAATCAAAATGTCATATATTAGTTCTACCTTACTCTTAAAGAGGTAGCAGAAAAAGTTAGCATCGCTCGGTTTGGTGGCGATTGACTTGGATTGAGCAGTCATTTAAGATGGTTTAGATACAATCAGTCACCCCACTTACATAGTCTCAATTTGAACTAACTTTGAATCCCACATGATAACTGAAATGTCTATTTCCGTGTGCAGTTAACTGCTTTGCTTGCTGAGATTGGACTGAACATCCAAGAAGCACATGCCTTTTCCACCACTGATGGTTTCTCATTAGATGTGTTTGTTGTTGAAGGATGGCCCTATGAGGTATGCTGATAACATTGGATATAAATTTGTTGTTATGGATACAGTGTTAAGAAAAACGAGTGGTTTATTTCATAGTTTGATGTCATTGAACACTATATATATTTTTGAAAAACGTAGTTCTAATTCATACAAACCACGTTATTGCAACTGTATTTGAGTTTCACAAGCACCAGCTCATCAACCACAATGACCAAAACCGATTCTTTCCTCTGGAAAGCTTTAATTTGTACTTCTCATGTATTTTTGGAATACCTTGTTATGTTACTTTTTGCCATCACTTCCATTCTCCCTTTTAATGTTTATTATTATTAAAGGTTCAGCATGTCCCGCACAGCTTGACTATTTAATATTTAAACAGGAAACAGAAAAGCTTAAAGCAGCTTTGGAAAGAGAAGTCTTGAAGAAGATTGAGGTAAATTGGACCAAATACTGTGTATCTAGAAGTCAGTTCGAGTTTATTTGACTAATTTTCAGTAAGTGCACTCTAATTTTAAAACTGCAGGTGAGGTCCAGTCCACAATCTGTATCTTCCGTTGATGAGTCTGATCAAGCAAAGATGAAAAGCGAACTGGATCATTTGACAATACCAAATGATGGGACTGATGTTTGGGAAATAGATCCTAAACATTTGAAATATGGAACTCAAATTGCATCTGGTTCATATGGTGAACTGTGAGTACATAGCTACTGAGAAATATGCATTCCTTTTATTAGTTCCTGCTAGATGTTCTCACTTATTGCATATATCAATTCATTTTTCAATTAACTGGTTATTTTTAATTAAATTAGATTTAAAGGTGTATACTGTAGCCAGGAAGTAGCCATCAAAGTTCTCAAGCCTGAGCATGTAAATTCAGAATTGCAGAGAGAATTCGCCCAAGAAGTCTATATCATGAGGTTTGTTGTACTAATATTGTGTTGTAGACATCTGAAGTATATATTCCTGTGAGACAGTGGATTTCAGAACTTGATTTCGAAAACTATTTAACTGTTGAGCATGTCAAAAGTCTTCTCATTAAGATGGTAGGAACAAGGTGGATGTACAATTGCAACCTTCAATTTTTGTAAGGAGTGCTTAGTTATCAATCTCAGAGAGAGGTTGTGTAACTGCTCGCCCTGAAACATCATAGAGAGAAGTGGGATGCCCTCTACATTAAATGTTACAATAAAAATACTCAAAACAAATAAATACCAAAAATTAAAGAAATTCGTGATAAATAATAAGTCCCAGTCTACACACAACAGAAATCATCAATCTAGGATCAATGAGCATTATTAAAGAAATTTATGATAAATACTTAGTCCCAGTTTACACACTCAACACAATCTTCATCAATCTAGGATCTATGAAAATAGTAATGATGTTAAAAAAATGAAAACTGATGGTGAAATTCATAGAAAAGGAGCATAACAAATTAAACATAAATTCGCTTATGGGAATTCGGAAGGCTGAAGGAAGAAAAAGAAGAAAGAATAGAACACCTGGATAGAAATACTTATAAAGTGCGAAGGAATAGAGGTAATTTTTTGTGGGACATTTTACCTAAACAATGGTGTTCACTGTTCAGGGGGTAAAAGTGAGTTTTTGAAGGCTATATCATGGTAGTGTTGCTAAAGGCAGTTATTGTGGCCCCAATGGGTGCTATTATTAAAAACTGTTCACCGCTCTGGTATATTGACTAGTACTATGAGCGAGTAAGAGTTAAATAATTGTACATGTTTGTAATTCTATTGTCATTCGCATAATGATATCTTCAGCAATGTTTTATGCTTCTTTAGATATACTAGTTTTTTCGTATTGTAGATAGCAATTCAACATCCCCCATCTTTAGATGTGAAGTGGATTTTATCTAAATAAATGATATTAAAATGAAGATAAGTATCTCCTCAATATGGACATTCTAGAAATTGGTTATGGTAATGCACATGTTGAACACAAGCAGTTTACAGATGCACTTACATTCCTATCTAACTGATATTAGTTATCCTATGCCAAAATTTTAATTTAGTTTGCTTATTGACAAATGACTTTTTTTTGTTTTTTTGTCTTTTGCGACGGGAAAAAAATTACAAAAATGGAAATTGTTTATAGTTTTATATTCTCATTAAAGAAAATATTATGCGTATAGCATATTTAACTCACTGGTGGAACTTGCAGAAAGGTTCGACACAAGAATGTTGTACAATTCATAGGAGCATGTACCAAGCCCCCACGTTTATGCATAGTAACAGGTGAAATCCAATTATTTACTTTGTGTTGTAGAGTAATGGAATAGATGTGATCTTAAAAACGTAGCAGTTGTCAACCTCGTAATGGTTGTTTCCCTTTCAATTTTCAGAATTTATGTCCGGTGGAAGTGTTTATGATTACCTACATAAGCAAAAGGGCTTTTTTAAATTTCCTACCCTACTCAAAGTAGCAATTGATATTTCTAAAGGGATGAATTACTTGCACCAACATAACATAATCCATAGAGACTTGAAGGCTGCCAACCTTCTGATGGACGAAAATTGTGTATGATTTTATCTTTTATTTTTCAGATGTACGCAATGCTTCTCCCCCTCCCACACACACACACACACCACACACACACACAATATAACCCACAAGTGTAGCTGAATACCATGAATATTATCTGGGCATACCAACTGAAAGTAGTGTATTTGTTCCATCACAGATAGTAAAGGTTGCTGATTTTGGGGTTGCTAGAGTTAAAGCTCAATCCGGCGTTATGACAGCAGAAACCGGAACATATAGATGGATGGCTCCTGAGGTATTTGATCTTCTCATGTTACCTTCATCTAGTTCTGAAAATAGTTTCCACGATATTGTTGAGCCTTTCAACACCCGAGGCTGTCTATTTGTTATATTCCCATGAGTTTGCACTTTTTTAATTGGTATTTTCAACCTAAATAAATGTTGGTGTTAATCTTATTTTGAATATTTTTAGTGAACCTGTCGTTATGGAAATTTTTAACAAATTTGAAGGTTTGATGAATCTAACGCTTTGAATGTTTGTACGAGCTCACTAAAATTTTCTGTTACAGTAGTTTTCCTTCTCTTGTTTAAATATTTTCTGGTGGCTAAAATAAATGGGACATATACTATTATTATCTTTTCTTACGATGATTCCTTTGTATTGAAGGTTATAGAACACAAGCCGTATGATCACAAGGCTGATGTATTTAGTTTTGGTGTTGTTTTATGGGAGTTGCTTACTGGAAAGGTATTTCTTATTTGCAACACCTTAAGATTCTTATAGTATTAATTTTCGTCATATAAATTATTGTTTTTTTCTTCTCAGCTTCCATACGAATATTTAACCCCCCTACAGGCAGCTATAGGAGTGGTTCAAAAGGTAATATTTTTCTCTTAAAACTGGGGTTTCAGAAAAAGGTACCAATTAATGTCTTGTCGCTTAGTGGGTTGCATGCTTAAATGGAAACATGTGTAAATGGATTTCAGGGTTTGCGACCCACCATCCCCAAGAACACCCATCCAAAGTTTGTTGACCTTCTTGAGAGGTCCTGGCAGCAAGACCCAACGTTGAGACCCGATTTCTCTGAAATTATCGAGATCCTTCAGCAGTTAGCAAAGGAGGTATAACTCGATTCTTTTATCTTAATGTGTCAGTTTTTTCCCTTGGAAGTATTTAGGTGTATTGTATTTTCAAATGAGTAAAGCTAAAAAGGTCGGGGTTCGATCATTTTAATTTTGGTGTCTTGAGGTTGTCCCTCAGTCTTAAACCTAGCAGTCATTTTGGTTCCTATATTAACTGCAACATTGATTATACTAATAGAAATGCAAGTGGCATGGAAACAATGTTGCTCCATGTTTTAGGTCAGAAAATTGTTTCGCTCTTCATTTTCCTCTTCACTGTCCGATTGGTGTTTTGATAGTATCAGCATTGATAGTGGGAATAATCATCAGAAGGATGGTAATGGTGGTGATTCTTGGAGGGTTTGGTGGTGGTGATAGGAGAATATGGGTTGGACTTGAGGAGGACAAAGGACTGTGTGATGGGTCGGACCAAGTTAAAGAGAGACCCAAGATCGAGTGGGTCGATTCTTGTTCTTCTCCTGTATCTAAAAAAACAATGGAGTTGTGCAAGTGCCAAAAGTGGAGGCTGGAAGAAACAAGAGGAAGAAGTTGGAAAGCAAATTGTAGTGGAAGGGAGAAGTTTCTGTGGGGAGTAGTAAGATGAAGAAAAGGAGGTTTTTGGCGGGGAGTTATGCTAACTAACAGAAGGACGGGATGTTGCTTCTTAAACACTTTTCGTGTTTGAATTGTTGCTGTGTCAAACAGTTTCTGACGTGGACGCCACTCTAACATATGTCTAATTAAAAATTATTCCTTGTTGATTTGGACCTTAGAGATTTGGACATTACAGAAGTTAAAGGGAGCAGCATTTTTGAGGAAAGATAATATGGTTCTTGGTCCTGTCAAAAGAAGAAGAGAAAGGGCAATAAAGACATTGAAGTGAGGTGTTAAACTGAGATTTTGTCGTAAATAATGTCTCAAGAGACATACTAATATTATTATTTAAAAAAAAAACTAAACTTTTAGACAAGACAGTTTAAAATTGAATATAAAATATTAAAATTAACGCGTGTCCCTTTATTTTGTGTAGGCAGAATCATAGTAATAAGTTGTTGGAAAGCTATTTCAATTGTGTTCGTTCCTAATTCGTTTTAGTTAGGATCTCTTTGGGTTTACGTTAATTGTATTGTCAAGAGTGGGGTTAGTTAATCATCACACATGTCGGTTTTATGAGAATAGGTTTTATAAGATTAATAAGAGCGTAACAACTTTGGTATCTAGTGTGTCGACATAGTTATGTGCTAGAGATATTAGAGTGTATAAATTTGACCATGACATGGATAACACTTTCTTTGTATGTGGAGCAGGTTGGAGATGGAGAGGAGCGTCAGAAGGAAAAATCTGGAGGACTTCTGTCAGTCCTCAGACGACATCACTAGAAAGTTATTTGAAATGATGATGTGCATAGCATGGTCATAGGTAGGATCAATCACGAGGGCCATTTCCCATTTGTTTCTAAATTCTCATGTACAGTTATCTTCACAATATCTTATTGCTTTTATGATAGATTTGTCACGATTTAAGCATTTTGAAAATTTGATCAATTGCACATTTCTTGGAGTTTTATTACGATCTTTATTTATATCTGTAAATAAAAGCTGTTGATGGTTTACATTAAATTAAAATCGTAACATCAACTATCTTTATCCCATCAAAATATTATGTAAAATTATATCTTGTACATTTTTTAAGATCTTAATTGATTCTTCTATGAATGTATATGATGACTTGTTTGTGAAGCCGTTGGCTAATCGAACTAATTGCACGGATCGTGCTAGTAAACCTCTTGAGAGGTTTAAGATAACGTAGTTAACAAAATATGTTTCAGCTACACCCGAGCTTGCTGAAAAGGGAAGATACTCTCTGAATACATGAGTTGAAGGAAGAGGATGACGCGCAAGAAATATTGAATGACTTACCGCATGCTGAGTGCCAATTACAGTGTACCTACATCTGCTACATAGCTCAAATGAAACAAGAGCTTGCAGGTTTGGTTAAAGCTTATGCATTCATATTTTACACAGGCAGAGACGGAGAACCAGACTCAGATGCTTGGAGGGGTCATGTATAATAATTAAAGTTTATTCAATCCAACAATCATATAATAAAGCCAGTCTCGGACACAATTTTGTTTTCTTTTTCATGTTTTGATCTGTACACTTCAAGGTAAGATAAGATAAAAAAAAAACACGTTTTAGTCTTTTGTGAATAATGACAATAACAAGTGAGAGAGAAAAAAAAGAGTAAATATAGATTGATAAAAACATTTGCCAATACATCTCAAAAGTTAGAATCTGTCAAATTTATCTATAATGTTTATTTTTTTAATTCTTAAAATATTTAATGGAGAGACAGATAATGGCATTCAATTATAAACGCCACCATTTTAATTTATAGCTTTTATAAGTATTATAGAAAATATCATTGTCTTTGTAATTAAAACTATATAAGTGAAAAAGAATCATTGAATGTGAAAATAATAATACTTGAATATCATTATTTTCACAATGAGCTAGAAATAGACAATTTTTTTAATATTATTAACTAAAATTAAGATAGATTTTTTTCTTTTCTAAATTGTATTGTTGATAGGAAGTATTCTCCAAATTTAACGATGATAGATTACCAATATTTAGATAAATTAGAAGCAAAGGACAACAAAAATTGAGAAAAAAAAAGTGTCTCGAGGCATATTAAAAAAAAAATGAGACACACAAAATGCTTGCTCGTCCCTCAAAACTTATACTCTTTAGCTTAAATATAAATAAAATTAGCTAACAAGTTATTAATTAAAAAAATACTAATATAATTTAAATTCACAAATTATATTTAGAGATATCTTATTTACTAAAGCATAATATTATTATTGTTAAAATAATTGACTGTAATTGAAAATGAATGTTAAAGAAAAATAGGAGAATTTTGGATGAGAATGGAATATTTATGTAATTTGGTAATTGTGTGGAAAGTTACAGATGATTTGGATGATGATTTGTCATTATTTTGTATTGAGCTTTCTGGGAATCACGAGGTGCACGTGGCATCATCTCCGTTATGCAATTACAACTACAATTATATAATGATGCTACCTAACATGACATACCTACTATTTTACAAAATTTGACCACAACTTATAAAAACCCTTTCCAACCATTGGGCCTAACTAACTGTCACGGTCCAACCATATCCTTCCTAATAGTTACTCTACCTTGTCTGCTTCTCAAATTTGTTCCTTTTTTTTTTCTTTCTCTGATTTACAAATTCGCGACTCCTCTAATGTTTCATGCATTAAACATTATTGAACCTATTAAATATTTTGACATTTTTTTTATTTTTTTTCCTATATTCACTGCACTGATTTGGTCCGTGTTGTTCTCTTTCCCACGCGGACAAGTAAGTAGGCGGTGTTTTTGGCCCAATGGTTTTTTTATTTGTTTGAAGATTTTTTTAATTAATCTTAAAAGTGAGTTCTATTTTTTATGTTTTATAATTTAACTATGTATATAGATTGATTACATTTTATTAATAATATAAAAAATATAAATTATATTTTAACAATAATGTATCAAAAGCTAAAATAAACGATAAAAAATTACTTTTAAAAGTTTTTCTTACTAAACTAAACCCTTCATAAACTAATATTTTGTTCTACTAAAGGAAATGGAATTATCACGACGAAATTAAAATGAATTATTTGCTCAAGAATCAAATAGATTCATATTTGTAAAAAACAACAATTTATAATTAGTAAAAAAATAGTTATTGACTGATGAAAAAAAATGACTATTGGTCAAATGTATAATCATTTTTTTCTTTTTCACTGATTAAATCACAGGCTAGGACAGCTCATTTTTTGGTGTACAGCAATACAGTTCATCGTTATTTGATAGAACCACAACAGTATTATATGAGTCAAAGATAACCAAATTATGGCTTTAGGTATTATATATAATTAGTATAATTTTTTACGTTATCAATTAACTAATTAAGAAATATGGGATAGTGAATTTTAAAATAAAGTCTTATAAATTTAATAACTTAATATATTATTATTAAATTTAGTAATAATATAATTAATTTTTTTACAAAAGATAAACAGAAAATCTTTACTAAAAATAATAATTGGTCGATCAAACTGATTATACTTTATTATAATAAAAGTCAAGATTATAGAAGAAGATGAAAGCTAATCTACAATGTATCTTTTTTATAAATTGAAAAGGAAAGATACTGGCAGAAAAGAGAAACAGACATCAGCGGCGATAACGACGGCAACACAGGACACCTGGTGGTTTGGTCTGTGATGAGTATGTTTGTTTATTTTCCGTTCACATCAAAATCTACTTTACACTACATGAATACGCGTGCGTGCAGTGTTTTTAAAAAACCTGTTTTTCAATCTAAGAAAATATATTTATTAATTCAACTTTTTAACCATTACAGGATTGGAATGAATTGCTGATAACTTTATTTACATTATTTGACCAATATGCCTGCATGGTGCTGTTAACGAATATCCCATGAATTTAGGTCCAAAAGATTTGGTGTCCACACTTCAACACGTATGTTTATGGAATTCACTTGTTTTTTTTTTTTTTTTCACCTTCTTCATACTTAACTTTCCCGTTTTCTTTGGTTTTTACCTTATCCTTTGATAATAACTGCATTGCTTTTGTTTTCTAAGCTAAGAAAAAAATGATTTTTGTTTTCCTTTCCCTCATCAACACAAACACTAACCTAACCTAACCACACCCATGTCTGCAATCTATTTAAAAACATCATTGTACTTCTCAACAACATTGTCTTAGTCCACCTCTTCAACAAAGAAGACTCTTTTATATTTTCTTGGTCAGCAAAACCTTCACTTTCTTTCTCTTTCTCACTTCCGCTTTATTAAAATAAAATTATTATTATTATTGTTTTGAAAAAAAGTGCAGCATTACTTCTCTTGATGCAATCTATAAGAAAATCCTTTAAATCTTATGGTTCCTACAAACAATCAACAAGTTTTTACGGCGCCGGGAACCCCGACTCCGACCACGAGAAGCTTCCGATTTTACTCGACCAAGAAGCGCGGCGCCACAGTGAAATGACCGCCGGCGACTGCGTCGTCAAAATCGACGATGCCGCCAACTCATCGCAGGGTAACAGGATTTGGCGGGAGTCGAGCTACGATTTCTTTAATGGAGAAGGCAACTCCTCCGCCGCTGTTGCCGCCGACGATAGTTTCGATTTCCGGCAGACGGAAGATCCGCCGTCGCAGCTTATTGGGCGGTTCCTCCACAAGCAGAAGGCCTCCGGTGAAATGCAGCTGGATATGGATTTGGAAATGGAGGAGCTCCAGCGCGATGCCGAAGGCGAAAGGTTAACACCGGTGGCGGAGTCTCCCATGAACTACCGCATGTCCAGGGAGCAGAAGGTCTCCTTCGAAGAACCGGCTTCCAGTGTGAGTATCCCCGAAGCGCAGAACGACGTCTTCAGGAGAAGGTACAACAAGGACTCGCCGTCGTTAGCGGAATACAACCTCCCTCCGCAGCCGCCGCAGTACGACCGTCGCCGCTCGCCGTCACCGTCGCAGTCGCCTGCCGGAGATGGTGAAGTCCTTCGGTGCACCTCGAACGCTTCATTCGAGAGAAACCTCTCCATGCAGAGAAAATCGGCGTTGTTGAAGGCGAAAACGAGGTCGAGGTTGCTGGACCCACCAGACGAACCCGACAGGAAATCGGGTAAGGTTTTGAAATCGGGTCAGCTCCTTTCGGGGATTTTAGGAAAGAAGCCTGATGAGGAGGAGGACGATCCGTTTCTGGAAGAGGATCTTCCTGATGAGTTTAAGAAGACTCATTTCAGCTTTTGGATTCTTCTGGAGTGGGTGAGTTTGGTTTTGATCATTGGGTTGTTGATAACCACTCTTTGCATTCCCTTTCTGAGGGAGAAGGATATGTGGCAGCTTAGGTTGTGGAAATGGGAGGTTATGGTTCTGGTTTTGATCTGTGGGAGGTTGGTGTCTGATTGGGTTATTAGGATTGCCGTGTTCTTTATCGAGAGGAACTTCCTTTTGAGGAAGAGGGTGTTGTATTTTGTGTACGGTGTGAAGAAGGCGGTTCAGAATTGTCTTTGGTTGGGGCTCGTGTTGATTGCGTGGCATTTGTTGTTTGACAAGAGGGTGCAAAGGGAAACCAAAAGTAATTTCCTTGGGTATGTTAATAAGGTGTTGGTGTGTTTCCTCGTGGGGACTTTGATGTGGTTGGTGAAGACTCTCATGGTTAAGGTTTTGGCTTCTTCTTTCCATGTGAGTACCTACTTTGATAGGATTCAGGAGTCACTGTTTAATCAGTTTGTGATTGAGACGCTTTCGGGGCCTCCTTTGGTGGAGATTCAGAAGGCTGAGGAGGAGGAGGAGAAGCTTGCTGATGAAGTCCAGAAGCTGCAGAATGCTGGGGTTACCATACCCCCTGACCTTAGGGACTCTGCTTTTTCTAATATTAAGAGTGGGAGGTTGAGGAGTGGAGTGCTCTCCAAGAGCCCTAGAGTTAAGAGTGCCAAGTTTTCGCGGCCTCTTTCTAAGAAGTCTGACGATGGGAATGCCATCACCATTGATAACCTGCATAAGCTCAATCCCAACAATGTGTCTGCCTGGAATATGAAAAGGTTGATGAACATGGTCCGGTATGGAGCTCTTACTACCTTGGATGAGCAAATACTTGATAGCGCCAATGATGATGAGAATGCCACGCAAATTAGAAGTGAAAACGAGGCAAAAGCTGCTGCTAAGAAAATATTTCATAATGTTGCTAGGCGTGGGTGCAGGTTATCTATACCTTCATCTGTTGTTTGTTGCATGCAAATTTTGATAGTTTCAATCTTTTCTAGTTTATACAATCCCTTTTTCTGTTTTCTTATTGCATTCTGTTTTGCAGGTATATATATCCCGCTGACTTGATGCGATTTATGCAAGAAGATGAAGCTGCAAAAACCATGAATCTCTTTGAAGGAGCATCTGATTCTGGGAAAATTAGCAAAGCAGCCTTGAAGAACTGGGTGGTAAGAAGGAACTCACATAACGTATAAAATATGCAGCTTAATTCGAAGAAAAGAACGGAATAGATATATTTACTGTAGTGTGAAAACATGTAGTTACTGTTATGTGACCTTTTTCATCAGCTGTCTGATTTATTTACTTTTCATTTTTGTACATGTTCAATATGGTTCTATGACAATGACATCTATTGTGACAAACCTTGACATATAATTAGTATATTTACCAAAGCTCAGTTGGAAGGGGATGTAGAATCCAATTCATCAGTAATGACACAGTCATGCAGACAAGATTGGTTGCATATAAGTTAACTTGCAGATGTTATTTTTCTACTCCAATTTATTTCTAATGCATGCATGTTCTTTTCAAAAGATATTTTTGTTATTATGAATAATTTTTGCATAGAGGTCAGAGTTTGTGCTTTGCTTTTATAACATTTACAGACTGGTTTTAATTCATGTTTAGATGCAACTGTTTACGTTTGCTTTAATTGTATTTAACTACCCAGGTCAATGCCTTCAGGGAAAGGAGAGCACTTGCTTTGACACTGAATGACACCAAAACGGCAGTGAACAAACTTCATCGAATGCTCAATTTTATGGTTGCAATTGTTGTACTCATTATTTGGCTCTTGATATTGGAACTTGCCACCACCAAATTTCTTGTCTTTCTGAGTTCACAAATTGTCTTGGTTGCATTTATATTTGGAAACACCTGCAAGACCATATTTGAAGCAATTATTTTCCTATTTGTCATGCACCCTTTTGATGTGGGAGACCGATGCGAAATCGATGGGGTTCAGGTAATGTTCATCCATCTACTGGTTTACACATTCTGGTTTCAAGTAGACAGGGCCTAATTTCTCCTCCATGTTTGCTTACCAATTTCAGATGGTGGTGGAAGAAATGAACATATTGACAACCATATTTTTGAAGTTTGATAATCAAAAGATCATCATACCTAACAGTGTCCTTGCTACCAAAGCTATATATAACTATTACCGGAGTCCTGATATGGGAGATAGTATCGAATTCTACGTACACATATCCACCCCAATTGATAAGATTTCCCTTATTAAACACAGAATACAAAGGTATGTTCTGAGATATATCTGTCAACTTTGTCTTCTTGTTAACTTTTTGTTCTAAACGTGAGATCTGACTGTTTGAAACTACTGATGACCACAATGCAGTTACTGTGATAACAAGAAGGAGCACTGGTATCCTTCACCTATTGTAGTAATCAGGGATTATGAGTCATTAAACATGGTGAAAATGGCTATCTGGCCAACTCAAAAAATGAACTTCCAAGACCAGGGAGAAAGGTATATAAGGAGATCCCTTTTGCTTGAAGAGTTGATCAAGATTTTCAGGGAACTCGACCTTAATTACCGGCTCCTGCCCATGGACATTAACGTGAGAGCCATGCCTACCTCTTCTGAACGGCTTCCACCTAGTTGGGCATCAATTCCAAGTTGAGTAGAAGCAAATTCGAGTGATTCATATCCTCATTTTGTGTGGAACACCCGCGGCATTAACTGCTAAGAAGTACTATATTTTAGCAGATAGCATGTGTAAAGAGAATGTCTTCGGTCTTTTTTTTGTTAGATTAGTTTCACATGTTATTCTATAGCTAAGAAGCCATGTCTAGGCTCATGCATGCATGTCTCTCTCACGTAGTAGCAGAAATCATTAGTATTAATCGCCACCTTCTTTATACTACCACTATCATATTCTGTCTACAACTTCTCTGTTTCTTAATATCAATGCATTTATTTAGAAGATATTGAAAACTGTATCTCTTGAATAAAATGTTGGAGAAAAAAACACGCAGAGAGATGATGAGAAGGTTAAGAAATTTATTCCCATATCTTTGTCCTACTACTGTCATGTCTTTATGGGTGCAGAATATCTGTATCCATTTCAAATATAAAAATCCTTCATTTTAACCGATTCTGAAACATTAATTCACTGTGTAATTACTCTTCTAACTCGTATAAAGGTGGTTTTATGTTAACTCGTGTTTGGTTAAACTTGTATATTGCATTTTACTGAAATAATTTTGAGTGAACTGATGTAATTTCTTCATAAAATTTTAACAAAACCAAATTGATTAACGATGAAATGGCTTAATGATTCCTAGAAAATAAAATAAAAATTATTTTATTATTAATACATTTGGATATGACTCCTGAATATTATACTGAATAGGTATTTATTTTTTGATAAAACAAAAGATGTAAAATAATAATAAAAAATACAAAAGTAGGAAATGTTGTAGTAACGAGACTAAAGTAACAAAGGAAGAGAAATGGTGTTTGTTTTAATTGAATAATAAGGTAAATAATTATACATTATAATTTATATTGTGTGATAATAAACACATACATTATTCATTGTTTTATATATTATTCTTCGTATATAATATTTTTGATTTTTTTTTCCTCCGTTAATTTGCTTTTTCATTTGGCAAGCCGCTCAGAATTTAGGGAGCACAGTATGGGCCGAGGGTAAAATGGGTTGAATGATGGGCCTAAACAACGGCCTAGAGTCCGTTTTATTTCCATTATATTTGAAATATTATTTTTTTATTTTTGATTTATTTGAATTGAATACGTGAGAAATTGAATAGGAAGCAGTGTAGAGAGGTTTTAGGAGGGAAGAAGAAAAGAAAAGAAAAAAAATGACGAGACGGAATGGTAATGAATAGTAGTAGATGGGAAAGGCAAACCTGTCGAGCCTTGTTCACGAACTCCGTGAACGCATAGCAGCCTCCTCTTCCACTCCCACTGCCAACAACCCTTCAGACGACGACGCTTTGGAGGTCAGGTTCCGTACGGTTCTCCCCGATCTTCTCCATGCCTACGTCCTCCCTACTTCCACCTCCTCCGGTACCTCCTCTTCTTTTTCTTCCTGTTAACAATGCATGTAATGTTACTCACTTCCTTCTCTCACTCTCGTTTTCATCGCAGACAACCAGAGAGAAGTGATTGCTGTGGTGAAGCTCATCTCTCACACCGCCAGAAACTTCCCCGGAGTCTTCTACCACGGCAAGCCGTCCGCCGTTTCCCCAATCCTCGCGCGAATTCTCCCCTTCTTTGCTCAACCTCTATTTCGGTCTCTCTCTCTCTCTCTCTCTCTCTCTCTCTCTCTATATATATATATATATATATATATATATATACACTTTCCTTTTTCCTTTTTATCTTCTCCTCTCATTCATTTCCCTAATTTCAGGTCTTGCCATGGCGTCTTCTTCGAAGCCCTCGGTTCACTTCTCTCGCTGCTTCGCTCCGGAGCCAGAGATGCTTACCGCCAGTTTTTCGTCGATTCCATGTCTCTCATTCAAGGTATGAAGCTACGAGCAAATTACACTTATGAACTCGACGTCTTTGTTCCAGTAGTTTAAAACTTAGCTGCTGTTTTTTTTGTGGGTGATGAATTTATGATTATATGGATGCTTTTTTCTTGTCTATGATGAAATTCATGATTATATGATTGTTTTTGCATCCGCAGATATTCTATACGTGGCTTCACTCAATGTTAATGGATCCTCCAGGGTGATGCTCAATTGTTTCCGCGAGTCATTGTCTGGAGTTGAAGACCTTCCGTCCGCCAACAAGCCGGTTGATGGCTGTGGTTTACTGATTGACCTCACTGGCCGAAGCAGATGGCAACCGTTTGCAACATGGATTTTGAAGCTTCTCAGTAAATGTCTTACTGAAGGAACGCTCTATGTTGAAGGATTGATCCATGCGTCCTTTATTTCTGCTGCGTGCTCTCTTTTGTGCTATGGGGATGCTGACCTGCACATGGTGCGTGATGGTTGACGAAATTTAGAATTTGAGTTTGAGTTTTTCACTTGATTTTACTTAAAATTATTTTCTGTACGATATAAATTATCTGACGATTTGTGTCGTTATGGAAGGCATGCTTTGACTTTGTACACATCATTGGAACGGTGACAAATTATGATGTCATTCCGTATCAGAATTTAGTGCTGTCAATAGCTACTATCTTGAGTATGGACAAGGAGGGGCTTCCTGTTTTCAGGTTTGACTTTTGTTTAAAAAATATATATACTTGGGCTTCAATATTGTATTATATTCCATTAGATTCTTACATTTCGCTACATGTAAATTTAGATGACCTTTTCTAAAACTTATTTCAGTATTAAAGGTTTCTTATTAACAAACATTAGGATTACACACCTGCAGAAACACGGCTTATGATTCATTGATGGGTATTTGCCTTAATACACTCTACTCTAGCTGTCCAGAAGATATTGTCAAATTAACAGCTGCTGATTTAGTCAATGTATTCCTTCAATCGATGGGGAGAACCAAAAGCCAGCAACTTAAGGTTAATATTGATACTTAATTTTCTTAGAGCAATCAAGTTAACTGGGAAGCTATTCATGGATTCCCTTCTCATTCTGGAATATGATAAATTTGAGGTAGTGAATGGTTGAAGAGAATCTATTGGTACTCCTTTCAGGTTGCATTATGCACTGCTTATTCTAGGATTGCTCAAGTTTGTCCACCTCATATCTGGAAGCCCGAATATCTCATAACTGCACTTTATAATTCGGAACCATGTTTGCCTCTGATAGAGTGCTTCCAGGTAGCTCTGTCTACACTTGGCCCACATTTTGTTGGGGGAATCCTAACAAAAAATGAGGATTTAGCTGTGTTACCCGTGGAAGATAAGTCAATTGAAAGCACGAGGCTTGGTGAAAAGAGGCCCAACTTGGATATGGATAATTTAAGTATCAAGAGACAAAAATTGAACAAAGAAATTGTTGTTGCAAATGCCAATCACGAGGTGGAATGTAAAAGTAGTTATGTAGTTACTTGCCAAAGAGTAGAAGGTTATGCTAGCCACATGAATAAATCTCTTATTTCATTTGTTGATTCATTAAATGCTCCTGCGGTCAGACTTGATTCTTTGAGGCCAGATATTGCATTATCTGCTCTTAGCATGCTTTGCATTACCTTCTCTATTTATCCAGAGATTGATCTGTCTCTCAGAATCTTTCAGCAGATGCTTGCATGGCTTCCATGGATAGCTGATCAGGTAGGTAGGTTACTGTTTTAAATTCCTGTTGTATATATTTTTTTTCTCAATATATTAACTTGCTGCTGTAATAGGCAAAACAAGGAAACTCGATTATTGTAGATATTTCCACATACCTGGAAGGAATTCACAGTGTTTTGCTTGTGCAAAGTAAGCTTTTGACCTTGTGTATTATATTGAAGCTGTCGATTAACTTTTTCTTTTCCTTAGCAATAAAATGTTATACTTCTTTCTAGGTGATTAAATTACTCTGGTTAGGGATAGTGATAAGCAGCTGAATATGGGAATTCTTTTACACTTCCTTTAATTTAATTTACTTTACTTATCCTTTAAATTTGTGGTGTTTGTTAGTTCATGCTTCTGATTTGTATCACTTTGTGACTTCTCTCAATCAGATGCATCTCTCAAAGAATACAGCCCTTTAAATGATGAGAATTACCATGTGGACCTCATACTTGTGCTTAAACTTCCGTGGACTCATATGCTTGTTGCTATTGATAATCATTGTCCTTGGAAAACAAAATACCTTTCTCTTAAAGTAGTATCAAAGCTAGGCCCAAGCTTGAACAGTAAAGTTGTTCTTGAAGTTTTAGATCTGGGCCTTCGTGATGAAGCTGAAGAAGTCAGAATTGAAGCTGCCATTTCTATGCCAGTGATGGTTTTGTGGTCTGTTCTCGATGTATCATCTCCTGTTTTTGAAAGGATGGAGTAAGTTAACTGTGTGGATATTATCTCATACATAATTTCAATAAAAAATGTTTGTTGGATTTGTCATTCAGTTAGTTTGAATACAGGCGTGTGATTAACATGAAGTTGCTCATTAGATTTAAAATCTGAATTGCAGGAGCTGATTGAAAGAATATATTTTTACTTTGCACCCTTGGTTTTATTCCTAGGGTTGATTTTGTCTTGAATGCAACATACTTAAGATGTTTCTAAAACTATCACACATATTCAATATTTAGTCATTTTGATTTATGGATCTGAATATCCAAACAGTAAGACTACATTCTTTCTAGTGAGTTGTTCCTTTATATTTCACCTTTTCAATATTTGTTTTTTGGTTGAGATTCCATGTCAACAATAAATATGGCCAAAGTAGAGCTTATATGTGAGCTATTTTTTGGAGTTGATTTAGTCCTGTTTCAAGACTTAAGCACAATAGGATAAGATAACTCATCCCAAAAGCCTGGTCTATTAGGTGGAAGAGCCTTGAGGTTTAAATATCAGATCAAGTAGCTTCATCCCACTCAATGTGAGACTCCTAACATTGCCACTCTTTTTAAAGACCAATGTCCACAATGACTTTCACTTTATTGACATTGACCTGGTGGTAGCTTTTTGGTCTTTGAGACGACTTCACTCATTTATCAGTATTTAGTTTCCACCTCAATCCAGTCTAC